GTCATCATAATTTTTCACCTACATAATTTCTGAGCAACGAATGAAAATGTTGACTGGAATTTTGCAAACGATAACCTTTCTGTGTCTGGGCCAGCTTTCACAAATCATACAGGACCTGCCAATAGCATAGGTAGCTTCTATGGCCTGGCAATTCGCAAAAGAAAGATACAGGAGAGACAAGCTCACCTTTCAGATGAGTCTGCCATAAAACCCCTTTTATGGGGCTCTTTCAAGATCCTGTGAAAACCTTCCCATCAGTTTTGTTCCTGTGTCTTATGGGGAAATAGCAATGGGCCTCTCAGGGAGATGTTGCTTTGGGATCTCTCCCAGTGGCCCCCCTTCCCCTTCATCTTCATCTCAGGAAGGGGGAAGAGTGTTGGCAAGCAGAGAGGGGATGGGGTCAGAGAGTGGAATGGTGGGTAATTACCAGGAAAAAAATAGGAGCCTCCTACCTTTTATCAGAGCAAGTATCAAATACTGTTTGGCCCAAGCACATTTTGTCCCATTCTGTTTCTTATGCAAATGCAACATCTAGAAACCAGCCTGCCACAAAAGTTGACTCTGCTTCCCGACTTCATTCAACTTGCCCTTGAAAGGAGTATCATGTACCTGATTGTTAGCTGGGTCCCCCCCTCCAAGAAATTGTAGGCGAGATTTTATCATTATCAGGCTTCTCTAGAAATCAAAAGCACCTGTTCTTTGTTAAGGTGGGCTTCTAAAGAGAGAAATAGTCCCATTAGAAAACACCCAGAGTTCATACGGGAACACTATTAACATCTCCAGCCCAAGAATACCAACCTCAAACGCATCAACTTTAAGACACTCGTATTAAGCACTTACCTATGCCCGGCACCATGCTAAGCAATTTACATCTATTATTCCATCAGGGCCTTGCAACAGCATAAGGGATAGGAAGCCTGTTTTACAGATTCGAAAACTAAAGGCTTGGAAAGGTCTAGTCACTAGCTTAAGAATTGTGACGGAGCCACGATTTCATAATTCCAGAACCTGTGCTCTCGGTTACATATGACATAATTCAGCACTGATGACAATAATATATACTATCTAGCAGAGACCCATTTTTCATAGGCTCCCCTCTTTGGATTTCTCAAGCAGAATGAAGCATAAAATGAAAGTTTTCCCTCATGCCCTGACCCATAGAGGAAAATAAGCCATGTCTATGCAAACTGATTTACAATAGCCCCCCTTGTCCACGGTTTCCTTCCCCAAGGTTCCAGTTATCCACGATCAACCACATTCCAAAAATATTAAAGAGAAAATTCCAGAAACAATCCATAAATTTTAAATTTCACACCATTCTAAGTAGCATGATGGGATCTCATGGATCCCACTCCATCCCACCATTGACATGAATCATCCCTTTGTCCAGCGTATCCACACTGTATACACTCCACGATCATTAGTCACTTAGTAGCCATCTAGGTTATTGGATTGACTGTCCTCATATTGCAGTGGTTGTGTTCAAGTCACCCTTATTCTACTTAAGAATGGCCCTAAAGTGCAGGCATAGTGATGCTGGCAATTTGGATATGCTAAAGAGATGCTGTAATGTGCTTACTTTAAATGGAAAGGTATGAAAAGATGAGAAAAAAACATAGTATATACTGTATATTGTTCAGTACTAACCATGGTTTTGGGCATTCACTGAGGATGCAGGAACATATCCCCTGCGGATAAAAGGAGACCACTGCATATTTAATATTCTGAGTAATACAATGTTATAGATAATATTGTATCCTTTTAGGAAAGGGAAAAATTAAATCTCAGAGAAGCTTAGTAACTTGCCCAAAAACACACAGCTAGGAAGTGGTGGAGCTGGGCTTTTGATCCCAAGTCAACTACAGGGCTATCTGCTCAGTCTGACCCTAAACTGCCTCAAAGCATCTTGCAGGAGCCCACCAGACATTTCCACTGAGAGACAGGAAACACCTTTATTTTCACTGCAACCCCTTCCATGAGTGAATTCTGCCCTTCTAGATCAGAGACAAGACCGTCCTGTTGACCTTCCTGGGCCAAGGCTGGCTGGAAAGAAGGACATAGTGAAGATGTGTGAAAAGAATCTTCTTGAAATAGAAACATGTATCCCGACATACACAGAAGAGCAACACTAAATTATCGGTGATGAATAATCATTCATGTCGAATCAGAGGAGCATTCCTTATGCAACTAGGCTGTGTAGGCTGCTGTGCCTTGGCTTACTGGTTACTTCCTCTGTCAATCATGTTGATTCTTCCTTGTTCCCGCCTCTCCATCCCATGTTCTCAGCACAGACTTCCATCACTCTGTGCATTCCCCACTCCCACCCACCCAGTTCCTAGGTCCACTGACTTGCCTGCATCTTTCCAGAACCTAGCCCAGTGCCTGGCATACTATAGAGGCTCAATAAATACCTTGTGTGTGTGTTGTTGTTTTAATGGAGGGAGGAAGAAGCTCAGAGATAGTGCTAAGCTCTGGAAGAGAGAAACTCAGAGAATTCACACATACATTTTTGCTCAGGGAGCAATGCCCCTAATGAACTATAGACATCAGTGTAAATTTATATTTCCAGAATAAATTTGATCCTAGGTAACAGATAAATTAATATGTTTCTTCCTTCTCTACAGACTATTATCCATAAAATATAGTAATTGTGTGTGTGTTATACACTATAGATATAACTCATGTTACATAAATCTACAATGGACATTTTGTGGTACTTTGAGGAAGAGAAAAACAACTCAGGAATGAATACACATGTTGCCAGAAATTATTAGTTGTCTTCATGTAAACTATTTATTTATCTAGTACTTTACAGTTTACAGGAGCCTCTCATTATTGCTCTCTCACCCTGTCAGGTGAGCCCCGGGTTACAGCCTCCACTTACAGAGAAGGAAACTGAGTCACAGGAATTTTTAGTAGCTTGCCATGTGGCCATTTCCTCAATCTTTACACACCATCATGGTAAGACATACCATCAATTTAACTATAGGTTTTGAGGAAATACAAAAACTCTACCTTGCCCTAACCGGTTTGGCTCAGTGGATGGAGCATCGGCCTGTGGACTGAAGGGTCCCAGGTTCAATTTCGGTCAAGGGCATGTACCTTGGTTGCGGGCACATCCCCAGTAGGAGGTGTGCAGGAGGCAGCTGATCAGTGTTTCTCTCTCATCGATGTTTCTAACTCTCTATCCCTCTCCCTTCCTCTCTGTAAAAAATCAATAAAATTTTTTTAAAAAAACTCTACCTCATTTGTATGCATATTACTTATAAGACACATCCCAATGTTTCTGAGACATTAAATTACGCTGGCTTGGAGGGAAGGATGTGTATCTTAAAATAAAGGAAATGTAAGTACCAAAACAATGACTTAACCCAGTTTTCTAACTAAGTCATGGTGTACAGATAATTTTGATTCTCAGCTACATTATAAAGCCCTGCAAAGCAGGGTATTTTTCTATACTTTTTAAAAAAGCTTTTTAATTTAATTTTTTTTATTGAGAGAAAGGGAGAGGGAGAGAAAGAAACATCGATGTGAGAGTAATAGATACATTGGCTGCCTCCTGCACCAGGACAGAGCCTGCAAATGGGGCACATGCCGAGACAGGGAATCGAACCAGCAACCTTTTGGTGCATGGGATGATGCCCAACCAACTGAGCTATATCGGCCAGGGCTCTTCACTTTTTACATCTTTCTCTCAAAAGGCTTAATGTAGTGGCTTCTGTAAAATGTGCTCTCAGTTGATTGATAAAACGGGCCGTTTCCTCTAAAAAAAAAACAAACCCTGATTTTTCATTTTTAAATTTCTGGGTGCTAAAGTTCTCCAGGCGACATATTTGGAAATTTCCCAGGAGCAGCATTTTATCTGTTGTTTTTCGGTGGGACCTTGTTTGGTGACTAAGGATTGATCATAAGATTGCCTTTCGAAGTTCCTTCTGTGTCATTGCTCTGGGAATCTAACAAAACTTGAGAAGCCTAGAGATCTACAACCAAAAGTCACATTTCAGGATGAAGATCTAGGGCAGCGGTTCTCAACCTGTGGGTCGTGACCCCTTTGGCGGTCGAACGACCCTTTCACAGGGGTCGCCTAAGACCATCCTGCATATCAGATATTTACATGACGATTCATAACAGTAGCAACATTACAGTTATGAAGTAGCAATGAAAATAATTTTATGGTTGGGTCACAACACGAGGAACTGTATTTAAAGGGCCAGAAGGTTAAGAACCACTGATCTAGGGGAACTTCAGGATGAAACTGTACAAGGTCAGAGCTTATTAAAAAATATTATAGAAAAAAAACTGTACCATTTGCACTTGCACAAACAGCCTGCTTTTTGTTTGTCAGGTTTAACACTGCTGAACTTGAGTCCTTTTAAGTTCAAAGTTTAGAGAGTTTACCTATAAAAAAAGAAAGAAAGCAAGTTGTAAAGAATGAAAATTGTCACCTAAAACTGTGTAGAAATTAGGTTGCCTCCAATCAGTTATTTTTTTTGTACAAGGGGGGAAAATTTGTTTATTCCAATCATGGTGGAAGTGGTTAAAAAAAAAAGTTTTTCAACCCTCTGAAGTAAAAGAAATTAGACTCAAGTGGCCGTAACTGAGCTTCCCATCGGATTATTGTGCAAGGTCCCCTTTATTCCCCCCGCGGTGGATAATGCGTGTTCATTGTGGTTTATCTGGAGCCGGTTTCTTTTACACCCTCAGCCTGTATAAAGTCGAGCTAGGACTGGGGCCGGAGAATTGGGCGGCATCTGGGAGGCAGCATCCACAGTCCGGAGAGAATGAAGCAGTCGGGAACATGAGCAACTCCATGTGTTATTGACGCTCCCCGTGGTATGAGCCCCACTTTTTGCCGCTCAGTGCAGACCAGGAACCATTAGAAAGAGGAGGCGGACGGCATTCCGGATCTCCCTTGGAAATCCCCCCGAAGACTGTGTGCGCTGCTTTGTTCTCACCCTTCCTTTTAATTTCTCGCTCCTGTTTCTGACCTAGAATGATCGAGGCTCGGGCCCTGGCAGGACCGTGAACCTCTGGCCAGCTTGGTTTGGCCACCTGGCCAAGACCAGGTTCTGAGAAGCAATGATGATGAGGGCCTTCGTCCTGTTGGCCGTCTTTGTGGAAGCCTCTGCGAAGTCCTGCACTCCGAATAAAGCAGGTACGCCCTGGCGCTAGGCCTCTTCCCGGAGATGCCCTGAAACCTCCCTTTGCAAAGCTCAGAGCTCTGCATATAGCCAAGTAGAAGCACTTCAGCCCCACCCCCCACCCCCACAAGTGCCAATCAGAATTTTCCCATAAGAAGTAAAAAAATGTACTAGATAAAATTAGGCTTTCTAAAAATCAAAGAATAGATGGATAGATAGATAGAGATAAAATCTCCACTTTTTAAAATATTTTCCACTTGATTTGAATTTCTATCCTGTGCCTTGGATTATCGTTTCATATGAATGGACATTTTTTAAATGAATGGACATTTTTTATTTTAAGTTATGTGCTTATTTTCATGGGATTTAAAATATATATACAGGGTGTCCCAAAAAATGTATACGCACTTGTTTTCTGATAGGTCAATTGAAGATTCTTTCTTTTCAGATTTAACCCATTGGAATTAATAATTCAAAGTGTGTGTACATTTTGGGGGGACACCATAGATATATATATCCAATCAATCCAATCTTATTTCACAGATACATTCCTTGAAATAAATTAAAGTTTAAAAGTGGGGGAATTTTGAACACATATTAAGTATCATGCAGATATCACACAGATGTAGCAAAAACTATAAAACTGGAACTTGAATAACTGAGGTTTGGGACAACTTTTGTCACAGCCCATGAAGAATAACAGGGAAAGTGTTTTTAACCAATTGTTTTTGCATGTTCAGGTATCACTAGTACCCACTGATACTTATGATCACCATATCTGATTTCCAACCATGTGTATTCTCTTTCTAGATGTCATTCTTGTGTTTTGTTACCCAAAAACCATCATCACCAAAATCCCCGAGTGTCCCTATGGATGGGAAGTACATCAGCTGGCCCTGGGCGGGCTGTGTTACAATGGGGTCCATGAAGGAGGATACTACCAATTTGTAATCCCAGATTTGTCACCTAAAAACAAGTCCTATTGTGGAACCCAGTCCGAGGTAAGTTCAGGCCACACAATGAGCCGCTAAGATGAGAGCTGTGCCCAAGAATAAGATGTCTGCTGTCCATTCTTAGAAAGATTTAGAATTCACCCATTTCCTTTTAAGAGTTAATCTCATTTCCTGGGATGTCAATGTCATTTAAATTCTTCTCTTCTGCCTAGTTTAGGTGACTCTTTGGATTTGAATTTTATTCTCTTAATTGGTTGCCAGAGCCAGCTAGGCCACCTTCTGTGAATAGACCAACATACATTTCCCACCTCTACTTTGCTTTGAGTTCTGAGCCTGTGCTCAAAAGCTGCCACTCTTCCTCTGCCCCAGGCTTTGAACTGGTGGTAAAGGGCATTGTAAAGGAGTAACCAAACTACAACACAATTCATAATGAGCTCTTGTGAACTACCCAGGAAAGGTCATCAGAATTTAAAGGAACCATAGACAACCTCTTGCATATCCTTTATGACAGAGGAGAAATCTGCAACCTCCCAATAAAGCCACTAGTTGGAGTGGATACAACATTCAGTATACAGCATTCAACTTAAATTATTTTAAACAATCGTAGTTGAACAGGCTCAAGAACTCTTTATAAAAATGATCAACCCACCCAGACAAAAAGAATGGGTGCTGCTCTCAATGGCAGATATTCATGTCTGCCCATGGGGTATTTTTCTGAGCCAACTTCAATCACTTTTCTCAGAATCCTCCTTCTCCTCATGGGGGTACAGGTCCACCTTAACTGCCTTCTTCCTTCCTCCAGTACAAGCCCCCCATCTACCACTTCTACAGCCACATTGTTTCCAATGACAGCACGGTGATCGTGAAGAACCAGCCCGTGAACTACTCCTTCTCCTGCACCTACCACTCCACCTACTTGGTGAACCAGGCTGCCTTTGACCAGAGGTAAGTTTCTCAGAGAGTGGGGGGCTGGCTGCCTTGCGTGTGCTCTGCAGTCCTTGTCAATCAGGCATGTTTCAGTCCTTATGCAAAATTCTCTCCCCTTTTCAGAGTGGCCACTGTTCACGTGAAGAACGGGAGCATGGGCACATTTGAAAGCCAATTGTCTCTCAACTTCTACACTGTAAGTGGTCTCCAGGTTCCCATGACTGCCCTGTGGCCTCTTGAGGAGAGAATGGGATCCTTCCTTGGGATTCACTCTTCCCTAAGCTCTATGCAGAACTCCATTCTTACATTCAAGCTGAGATGTAAGCTTTGGTCTAGCTTTAAACCTCTTTAAAAACTACATGCAGCAGGAAGGCAGATTCCTAGACTGGATGGAAGAGCTGAGAGGTACTACAGAGAAAAGAGGTCAGTCAGCCTTCCCATTTCATAGATAAGAAAATTGAGGCAAGAGAAATCCTGTGAGTTGCCAAGGGTCAAGAGACAGCAAAACAGCCAATGTCTAACTCTTAATCAAGATTAGTTTCCACTGCAGCCCACTCTAGAGATTTATATTTAGGATCTAGCTTGTGTTAAAACATTTGCACAGAGTAGTGAGCTTCTTGCCTGGGCCATGGCTAAGGAGAGAGGTGGGATTTGCCTCTGCTGCCTAGTTCTTAGGCCTCAAATCCCTTCAGTCCATGGGCTTCCTCATGGACTAAGTTGGGCAGGCTGCCTATGTTGACATTGAAGCTAGAGGCACAGTTTGGTCTCTCTCAAATTAAGTGCTCCAGAGAAACTAAAAACACAATGGCCACTAGCCCAGCTGCACTTCTGTTACGAAGGGGTGCTTTGTTTTTTTAAACCTGCAGCTTTCAGGGAGGAGGCAGATCTACAGTGACACTAGCCCAGTGGGCTAGAGGAAGACACAAGCAGAAATAGAGATCTTTATAAAGAACTAGAAGATATCCTTAGAGGCCATCATGCCCAACCCATTCATTTCACAAAGAAAACAACTATATGGAAGCCCCCTGACCTTGAACTCTTTGGACTTGCTTTACTGACTCCCTGGAAGCTATTAACCCTGCTGAACTCAGAAGGGGAGAGCTAGAAGAGACCCTAATATAACCTGGTCCATTTTATAGATGAGGATCTGAAGCCCAGAGGAGGAAGTGACCTGCCCCAGATCCCAGAGGTAGTTCAGAGCAGTGCCCAGTCTGGGACCCAGATCTCCTAACCCTGCTCTTTGAGGCAGACTGACTACGAAGGGAATGAAGCTGAAGTTTTACCACCCCTCACTTGCACAGACCCCTTTCAAGGCCTTGTGTCTAATTTTTGTATTGAAATTTTTGATCCTTTTAATTAAAGAGGGCGCTCCAAATTAAGTAAGCTTCAAGGTCCCAGAAAACCTAGATCTGTCCCTGGCCACACACACTAGTAGTTAAGTCCTGAATAAAAAGAACCCCATTAACCTCATATAACCCCCTGGACCTGTGATCAGGAAGGTAAATGCAGTGATGAGAGCCAGGCTGATGAAAGGATACTCAAACCACTGCAATAACTGATGAACTTTGTTTAGAGAGAAAAATAGGCTTCACACATTGACAACAGTCTCAGGGGATGTTCTAATGACAGGCTGTCTTTGCCATCGAGTCCCTGTCCGGAAATACGTGATTGTTATTTTAACCAGATAAAATTATAGATATCAGCCTATGAAGATTTTACAACAGTGGGAAATGGAGAGGCACCAGGATTGTCGAAAATTATCACCCACCATCAGTCATGTTGGACTAAGTTTCAGACATAAATATCGAAATTTAGAACTGGAAGAAGTCTATTCTTTTGTAAAAGAAGAGAAAAAATTAAGAGGCATATCCTCAGAGTCACCCAGGCCATCCTCTGGGCTGATATACAGACTTCACAGGATGCCTCCTTGAACTGTTCTAGAAATGAGGCTACGGTCTCTTCTGGGGCCCACCACAACCTTTACAGGACAAACAGGCTCTGCAAAAAGGGGGCTCTGTTGTTACAATAGATTTTTTTCATGCTGATTAATAGTCCCACTGTGGGCTGTTTCCTATGCCTGAACCACACAGTTGGTATTTTTCTTCTCCTCCCTTTTTCCACTTTGAGAGCATTCTTGTGTGTTTCTGAAGAAACAGCTGCTCCCTGCATATATTTCCATCAAATTACCAGTGACAGAGCAGTGCCCTAGATTGCACAATAGAATCAGTGCTCTGCTAATTGCTTAGGATCCTGAGAACTCCAAATGCTGGGCTCCAAAAACACCGGTTCTCCTCGCTATTCTTCCTCTCTTCTCTCCCTACCCCTCCCACCCACTTCTACCAATGGCACATGGTTGGTATTCTTGGCAAAAACTTGTTTTGACTCCCAATCCAAATTAAAGGAAGGTCGTCAGCTTACAGAAGTAGCCTAGCGCTGTGGTTAAGAAATAGGCTTTGGTGTCACACCATTGGTTTGAAAGCCTGGTTCTACCATTCCTAACTGTGTGACCTTGAGCAAGTTAGTTAACCTCTCTGGGCTTCCACCAATGTATTTGTCAAATAGGAATAATGATAGTATTTACCCCATGGGTTTGTTTTGAGGATTAAATTAAATACGTCATTATGAAGCACTTACCAGACTGCTCAGCACAAGGTAACTGCCCATGAAAGTAACCATTCTTTTGATTTTAGCCTTTGACTCCATTTAAAGTGGAAACTCTGAGAGCATCAACAAGCATTGTTACCTTTATAGGGTTGAACATCCATATCAGTGTGGGATTAGGGTAACGCATTCAATCAAAATGGTACTGACCACTCCTCTTAGATAGAGACGAATGAAAAAGCTTGGGTTGAAACAAATACGAGCAAGAGGCCAAAATTACAGACTTCCAGAGTCAGAACAAACCTCAGAGGTGATCAACCTTGACTTTCCACGCAAAGTCCAAAACCCTTCTCAAGATTGCTGAGAGGTGTGCTCCCTATCTCTTCCAAGGAGAAAGGCACGTCGGGCCTTTCTGTTTCAGATCAGTGTGTGATCTGGCCCATTGGTCTTGGTTCTGTCTTCTGGAATCACACCATGTACTGATGTTGCTGATAGTCCTTCAACTATCTCGAGCTTGTCTTTCGCAAACTAAACATCTTCCCACTGTTGGCCCATTCCTCATCCTAGTCACTCTCTGGATGGGCCACTTGGTCAATGCCCCTGTCGAAAAGCAGAGCCCAGAACTGAAATATTTCGTTCTAGAACTTATCAGACCAATGCAAGGCACAGCGAGTCAGAGGTGATCTTCTAGATTCTGGAAAATTCTAAGAACATGTTCTAGGACAATTTTAGCTGTGGGTAGTTTTCTTTCTCTGCTATCTCACATTGAGCTTGTGAGCAAAAGCAACTCCCAGAATTTGCCCACGTGAACTGCTGTCAATCTAGATGTGCCCATCCTCACTAGCGGCGACTTAATCTTTTGGTCAGGTGAAGGGCCTAGGTGGCATGATTTTTCAAGCTGCTCTTCCATCCTGTTCACTGAGTGAGTAGTTTATGTGGTGTGTCTGTTTCCTGGGATCCCAAAACAAACTCTACAGCTATTATAGGGGGAAGCTATCTGGGAAGAGGTCCCTAATTTTCATGTTATAAAGAAAGCAGGGGGGTACTGTGCTGAACAGTGAAGAAACTGACCATTAAAAGTGTTTTGCTTCAGCAATGGAATCAACAGTGTAGATTTGAAACAAAATCAGGCAGGTTCCTCTGGGAGTAGAGGCATTATTCCACTATTTTAATATTCTGCTGGCAGAACCCTAGGAGCTGGAGCTGGGAGGAGCAGCTCTGACTTGGTTGGGGACTACTGTGTGGTCCCCAGGTAAGTTCCCACGTTTGGAAATAGTCTCTTGAAATATGACATGTCTCAGAAAATAACAAAAAACATTAAACACCACTGTTAATCTGTCACTTCAATGCACATATTAAGCTAGGAAATCACCTGTGATTAAGAACTTTCTTGTTTAATTATTGCAACCATTTCAATGGTGGAAGGGACTGACATATGGGAAGAAAACATCTGATTTCTAGGTGACTTGAGTCTAGGAGCCCTGGCAAGACTTGCAATCAGTAAAATAATGTAAGAATTGCTAGAAGATGATTCTGAGGCCTCTCAGCAAATCCCCTGAACTTGAACCATGGCGGGGGTTAAAGTCCAGTTTAACTAGATATCCTTGCTGCCACTGTTTACCTATTGCAGTTCTGCAAAGCTCCAAGTCCACTAACCTCAATATTTTAACTAGTATCCTGGTTTAAGCTTTATGCTTCTATTAACAAAGTCACCATCATAAAAAGACATCTGCAAGGTAGGAGAAGGCAAAGGTTATTCCTATTTTGAAGATGGGAAGATTGAGACCCAGGTTAGTGGGGGGAGCCAGGATTAGCCCAGGATTCTTGGATCATTCCTCTTTGGCACAGGTGAGACATGCAGTGAGTGTCTCACTGTGACCAGCAAATCCAGACATGTGATGTCCTCATCCCTTCTAAGGGGCACCAGCGTCCTAGGAGGTAGAGCTTTTCTGGTTCTGGGAGTTTCTCACTGTGGTCTCATGTGCCTGTGCCCTTTGGGTTGATCCCCACCCTCACCCCATCCCAATTCATCTGCTCCTGCCCAACCCAGTCTGAGAGGTCATAATGCCCAGTGTCAATTTCCTTCCAAAGAATGCCAAGTTCTCCATTAAGAAAGAAGCCCCTTTTGTCCTGGAGACATCTGAAATCGGTTCAGACCTGTTTGCAGGAGTAGAAGCCAAAGGGCTGAGCGTTAGGTAAGTACATTTTCTCCATTTTATATGTTCAAAGACAAAGAAGAGGGAAGAAAAAAAAAGACTAGCCGAGAGACTTTTCAATCACCAGATGTTTCGAGGCATACACCTCTCTGGCTCAAAGCGATGCGTTTTATTTCATTTCCAGGTTTAAAGTGGTTTTGAACAGTTGCTGGGCCACACCCTCGGCTGATTTCATGTATCCCTTGCAGTGGCAGCTGATCAACAAGGGGTAGGTACTGCTCTCTGGTGCCCAGGGCGCAGAGGTGGGGCCAGGCAGATCCAGGGCTCCGGATAGCTTGGGCGGGAGAGATAGAGGCCATTGAGTTCATTAAGGACATCCTCCTTGCTTCCAGGCTGAGTACTGATACTAGCAAACATGTATATTGTACTTTCTGATACTAGGCGCTGTTTTGATTGCTTTAACATATATTAACTCATTTGCCTTACAACAGCTAGGTGTTGTTCCTACCATCCCCATTTCCCAGATGAGGAAACTAAGGCACAAAAGGGGTTAAGTAATGTCACATAGTTTGCATGTGGGGAGGGGGCATGTGCTCAAATCCAATCAGTCTGACACCAGAACCCTGATGAGGACTAAATTAGATAATCCATGAGGAAAGCTTAGATGGAGTACCTACTCAGTATCCAACTGATTTAAATAGTATCATCGTTTTTATTATTAATTCAGTAGATAATGAAGAGCTCAACAGTTTTGAGTAGAGGACTGAAGTATTGGCATTGCACAACAGAAAGGCAAGTCTGGAAGTCCTACCTAGGATGGTTGAGAAACAATACCTGGCAGGTGGAAAGGCCAGGTTAGTTAAGTGCAGTGGTGCCTATTGAACCAAAGGTGACAATACCTGACCCGAGGTGCAGCCATGTGAATGGATGATCATCCAAGGGAGGCAGGAATGATAAAAGCTTAGCATCCAATTGGATATGCTGTGCAGAGAAGGGAGGAATATGCGACAAAGATGGCTTTGTATTGTTGAGTCTGCGCTTGTGAAGGGGAAGAATTATTTGTTGGTGGATGCTGGGGATGGGGCTTTCTGGATAAGGGACTTTGGATTCGCCTTGAGCACAGGGATGACAGGTCAAGCTTGAGATGACAATTGCTCAGAAACACTTAGAATTGTAACTTTGAAAAACAGAGGCGAAGTGGAGCTAGACTGGAGATGCAAGTGTTATCTCCAGTAAACACAGAAGAGCCCTCCCCAGACCAAAGCAGGCCAGTGCGACCTGGTTATTTCCAGAACCCAGCAGGGCACGAGTAAACACTGGGGTCAGGGGCAAAAATGATTAGGCAATAAAGGCCGAGCTACTTTGGACCTTTAACTCTTTATTTTTATTTAACAAGCACCTATAAAGCACTTACAACATACCAGGCACTGCTCCAGCCCGGTGCTTTGCAAATATTGATTTATTTACATTTCTTTAAACCCCTATTAAGTAAGTAGTATAATAACCTCTACTTTATAGATGAGAAAACTGAGGCACAGACTGAGGGTCAGAAACTTGCCCAAAGTCCAGAACTAGTAAGAGGGTAGACAATCCACGCTCAGGCGTGATCTCCCCGGGGGGTATGAATAGGACAGGCCTGTAGACCCCCATCGGAGCAACCCAGCAAAGCTTCCTGCAGAGATGGGAGCTTAGTGTGGGTGCTTACTTCACATCTGTCAGTGAGTGATTCACTTAGGTTCTGTTGATAATGGCACAATCTCAGGGAGATTCTGAAACAAATCATTGACCTACCGGACCTGAAATTACCACCCGGCATGGGGAACCTCTCAGACATGGCCACACAGGGGCATTGCTACATCATGGGATTGCCTACCTGCAGAGAGTTCTGGGGCCATTGCTCACCTGACAGATATGCAATGTGAAAGGAAAAGGAATGCTTGGGTGTTGGAGTAGTCTATACAGGCGTCCCTCACACTCCAGTGTGCACAGGAATTCCGGGGGGAGAGGGTATGACTGTCACGCATGCAGGCACGCTGTAAACTTACCACAAAAGAGGGTCCCTGGGTGGACCCGGGGAATCTGCATTTAAGCACAGCCATAGGGAGGAAGCCCTGATCTATTTCCATACCCTGCTTAGTGGAAGTGGCCCTTGAGGTTGGGGATACATACAATATACATGAAGACCAATGCCAATGGGGAGAACAAGAAGTCCACAACCTCACAGATCCTTTGGGGTCACACTAGGCCCTTTTGGAGGAAAACCCACTTTTCTTTTCTTTTTTAAAATATATTTTTATTGATTTCAGAGAGGAAGGGAGAGGGAGTGAGAGGTAGAAACATCAACGATGAGAGAGAATCATTGATCGGCTGCCTCCTGCATGTCCCCCCACTGGAGATTGAGCCCGAAACCCAGACGTGTGCCCTTGACCGGAATTGAACCCAGGACCCTAAAGTCCGCAGGTTGATGCTCTATCCAGCTAGGATGGAAAACCCACTTTTCAAGAGTGCCTGGCAAGATTAGAGTAGATGTACCATCAGGAAGTTTGATCCTATGTAGGGAAAGAGACGCCCGTGGTGACTGTGTGGAAACCTACCTATGGGCATTCCACCACCCAGAGAGATCAGCCCCAGAGGGGCAGGTGCCACGGCCATTGCCAAGAGGCAGCAGTGCCAGGGCCTCTGGTCCTGCCCATGGCTTGCCGCCTCCCCACCCCCCTGACACTCTTACATTGTTTTCCACTGGCTGATACCATGCCTTGGGCACTTCGGCTTCAGGGAACTATTTTAAGAACTCGCGTCTTAAGTTGGTACAAGAATCTCAGGTTTGTTGACCAAATGATCCTCTAAGAGTCTTGTTTCACAGCTCGGAAAATGTCCCCGGCTTGTTCACTGCTCTGAGGCCACCACCACCAGAGGCCAGCCTCTGACCCCTGGTCCCGATATAAGGCACAGCGTTCAAGCCTGGCTCCACTCACTAATTCTCAGAGTTAACATTCCTTCAGTCCTGTCGCTGACTCGGCCCCTGATGTCTGGTTCTGGTGGGAGGGGGTGGGAAGGTACATCATGAAGCGCCTCCGAGTAGCTGGGCTGCTCTCTGGGGCATGTGGAGTTGGACTGATAGTCAGAGACACGCTCTGGGGGTGGCGGGAGGGGTGGGGGGCAGGGGGCGCATTAGCATTGGCCAGTGGTCTGAAGCTTTTGAACCCACAGCCCTTTTCCACAGAGGACAGATTCCGGTGCTCCTGTCACCTGCAGACAATGAACCCCCCCACTCGTGTGGGCCCCGCTGTACATTCCCAGGAATGACTAACCGCTCCCGACACCTGGTTGAGTGTCTGGAACTTGAATAGGGAATCAGGATGTGTTTGGTAAATGAAAAGTGTTTTGCTTAAACCAGGGTTTCTTGACCTCGACACCATGACCTGTTGGGCTGGGTCATCCTTCGTTATGTGTAGGGGAGAGGTAGGGGAAAATGGGGGAGGGGCGTCTGAGCATTGCACAATGTCGGACAGCATCCCTGGCCTCTGCCCACCAGATGCCAGTAACACCTTCCCCAAGTCCTGACGACCACATTGCCAAACGGCCCCCGGGTGAGAACAAGTGGCTTCAACAAATGCCCATCTGTGTCATTATTTTTCTCTTTGACAGCAACTGTTACATTTGGGACTTACACATAAACAATACAAAGAAGAAAACAAAAGCTGTCCATAATTCCACCACTCTATAACAGCCAGGGTGAACACTTAGATGGCATCCTTCCAGTCTTTTTTTTCCTGTTCTTATATTAAAAGTATGACCACATTTTTACAAAGGTAATTATATAATGAAACAGAGAGGGAATTTAAATAGCATAAGGTAAATTCCGATTCCCAGCGGCAAAGCCTCATCATGCACTCAGAGAGACATGAGTTGGGTGTGACTTGGACGCAGGTGGCGATGGCAGCACCATGGGAAATGCTGTCCTGGCACCGCTGTCTCTCTTTACACATGCAGGGAGTCTGTACATACCCGGCCTTGGGGGGAGAAGGGGGAGCGGGGGACAGATGTGCGGTGCCCTAGCAGGTGCGAGACTTCTCATAAGTACCGCCCCACACCGGATGTAGCCTGGCTGTAGAGTGGGGAGGACCACACCCATCTCAGAGCTCCTCACCTTGACCCCAGAGTCCTGGGGAGGAGTGAGATGCTGCAGTCACAGGGCTCCGGAAGGATAACGCAAGGATAACGCGCTGTGGAGGAGCCCCGAGGGGGGTGCTGCTCTGCATGAACGTGCCCAAAAGGCTCTTGCTCTGTCACAGGGTAACATCTTCTCTCTTCCCTCCCCCTCTCCCCGCCCCGCCCCCATGTGCTTCAGCTGCCCCACGGATGAAACGGTCCTGGTGCATGAGAACGGGAAAGATCACAGGGCGACCTTCCAATTCAACGCCTTCCGGTTCCAGAACATCCCCAAGCTCTCCAAGGTTTGGTTACACTGTGAGACGTTCATTTGCGACAGCGAGAAGCTCTCCTGCCCAGTGGTGAGCCACCTCTCCCCACAGCGAGAACGTTGGGGGCGGGGGGGGGGGCGCTGGGATTGGAGAGGCTGTATTTTTAGCCGGGAAACTGTAACCAGACCAAGGCAGCTGAGTGCTGAGGACATTCTGGAGGAAAGGACACTGGGTGTGGGGCAGACATGCTGGGCCCTGTCCATCCCGCCACCAGGCTGCAGTCTGGCACGTGTCACTTAACCTCGGAGCCTGGCTTCCTCTTCTCTAAAGACGGAGTGGGGACCAGTCACGGGCACCCTTTCCTTTTCAGAGAGCCAAGGGGAGGTAAGATAACAGTGATGCCAGACGTGGACATGCTTTGAAAAAGGTAAAAGCACAGGGAGATGTAAAATCTCAGTGGTAGCAATAGGTTCTGGATGGAAGTCAAAAGCCGGGTATTTTTAGCTCTTGACTGAATAGTTTCCCCTCCTCAGCCCCTCCCCCCACCGAGAAGTTTCAACAGCATCAATCAACAGGTGTAGCAGATTTGGAGACAGTTTCATTGCGACTGGACGTGACCCTGCTCCTCTGGGCAGTGGTTCTAGCAGCGGTTCTCAACCTGTGGGTCGAGACCCCTTTGGCGGTCGAATGACCCTTTCACAGGGGTCGCCTAAGACCATCCTGCATATCAGATATTTACATTACGATTCATAACAGTAGCAACATTACAGTTATGAAGTAGCAACGAAAATAATTTTATGGTTGGGTCACAACATGAGGAACTGTATTTAAAGGGCCAGAAGGTTGAGAACCACTGTATCTAAAGTGTGGACCAGGGCAGCTTTAGTATCACCTGGGAACCTGTTAGGTATGCAAATCCTCAGTCCTGCCCTCAGACCACCTGAGGCAGAAACTCTGGGTGCGCCCCTCCCCCCATCTGTGCTTTCCCAAGCCCTTCTGGTGCTTCTGGGTCACCCTGAAGCGAGAACCTCTGTGTAGAGACCTAAAGGGTTACCTACCAAATGTTTACCTCTCAGATCTGTGGGGGCTAAAAAGCTTGGTGAGGAGGACACGGCATTTCTGAAGGGGGCGCTGCCCATTGGCCTATCATAACCAACAGACATACGATCATCCTCTCTGATTCATTTGGCCAGAAAATGGTCACGTATGAGCACAAATAGAGAAAGAGAAGGGAGCAAGACACATGTAACAGTTGGTAAAGGGATATTAATGGCATGACATTTTAAAAAATGAACTAGAACACACTTTGAATGTGTCCACCTCTCCACTCTGCTGAGAGTGACTGTAGGAAAAGCCTTCTTTCTTTTTCTTTCTTTCTTTTTCTTACTTTCTCTTTCTTTCTTTCTTTCTTTTTCTTTCTTTCTTTCTTTCTTTAATATATTTTTACTGATTTCAGAGAGGAGGAGAGAGGGAGAGAGAGATAGAAACATCAATGATGAGAGAGACTCATTGATCTGGTGCCTCCTGCACACCCCTTACTGGGGATTGAGCCTGAAACTCGGGCAAGTGCCCTTGACCAGAATCAAACCTGGGACCCTTCCGTTCATAGGGCGACGCTCTATCCACTGAGCCAAACCGGCCAGGGTGGAAAAGCCTTATTTCTTACCCCCTCCCCCAAATTGCCCATCCCTCCCACGCCAGCGCGAAGAATCAGTACAGTAGAGGGTTCCTCCTTCCCTCCCGGGAAAGAAGGGATGAAAATGTCTGAGTTGTTTTTAAAGAGAAGGTAATAATATCTGTTCGCTGGGGAATTTGGACTCCATCAAGTTTGTGGCTGTTCTTTTAACCTCTCGCCTTTCTCTCCTGTGTTTCATTTCTCACCCCTCCCCGCACCCACCCGCCTTCCACCGCCTCTCACCTGCGTTTCTCCTGGGTCCTCAGACTTGCGACAAGCGGAAGCGCCTCCTCCGGGACCAGACAGGGGGCGTCCTGGTCGTGGAGCTCTCCCTCCTCAGTAAGCGTCTCTGTGGCCCACGTGGCTGCTCGCTCTGGGCTGCGTCCACAGGCACAGGTGGTTGGAGCGTTTTAACTGAATTGCCAAACCAGTTGTGCCTGTAGCCACAACCTGCACCTGCAACTCGAGGCTTCTTAATTGGGGGATGGATAGCTCATGCCAAACCCAGGAGTTAAGATTAGCCAGCTACCCTGTGGCCTGAATTCCAATGCCCCCGAGGAATTAGGATATGCCGAGCTTGTAGACAGCGCATGCCTGTCGTCAACATTAATAATAGAAAATGAAATGTGCTGGGACATCCAGTGCAAGTCAACAAACTTTTATTGGGCAACCAGAAGTCTGGGTGGCCTGAGCGCTGGGGTTTCAGAAACAGAGGAGCCCTGCATGGGCTTTGTCCTAAAGAACTTAGCATCTTGGGGGGAGAGAGACTTTAAATGCTAAGGAAAGGGAGATAGGATCAATGGCATTGGGGGAGGGGGCCATAGAGTATATGACAAGGGATTCAACCTAGTCCAGGGCTTAGGGAAGACCTCTGAAGGTTACCAGACTATACCTGGGGGTGGGGAGGAGGGGCAGTAACCCAGGCTGCCACTAGATTATTTTTATGGCCTGCAAGCCAAGAATCTTTTTATGTGGTTGAAAAAAAATCAGAAGATTCATATTTCATGACACATTAGAATTATAGGGAGCTCAAATTTCAGTGTCTCTAAAGAAGGTTTTTTTGGGCCCAGCCATTCTTGTCCAGCTGCTTTCATGCTTCATCCACAGCGGCAAGTGGTCGAAATACAGACCACCTGGCCCACAAAGCAGAGATGTTTACTATCAGGCCCTTTCCAGCAAGTTGACCAACCCCTGCCTTAGAGAGCAGAGCGAGCGGAGGGGAAAACGGTGTGAGAGGGAGCCGCAGGGGAACAGGCAATAGCGCTAGAAACTCCAGGGAGCCTGGTGGTTTAATGAGGGGAGGAGACAAGTTCATGTTTTAGAAACAAAGCTCTGATCTTAAACCTTCAGCATTCTCTCTCTTTACTCACTACAGGCAGGGGATTCTCGAGTCTCTATAGCTTCTCAGGTAAGGAGAAGAGGCGCCTCTGGGAAATGTCATGGGCAAAGCTTTTAACAGGCAGATATGTGTGTTAAAGCAAGCTTACCTTTGGCCCCAGCAAAGCCTATAAGAGTTTAAAAAAATAACTCTTTAAGTAGCAGTCGCCAACCTTTCGGACCTCATGGACCACCAGTGGTCCATGGACTACCGGTTGGCGACCGCTGCTTAAAGCGCACCCGAGTTGGGCAGAGTGGATGGAGGTAGAGCAGGGAGAGAGGGACCAGGGGTAAATTGGATGGAGCAGAACCAAGTCCCACTCCCCAAGTCTCAGCAAAGACATCACCAGATGGCTTTGCTTGTTTCCTGCATGTAGAGAACAGATCAGTGATTTTCAATGACCTGTTCATTTAACAAATATTTGACTTCCTGCTATGACTCTGCCCCTCACTCACCTTGGGCAATGACCTCACCCTTCTCTTCCCCCGTTTCCTCTATGAAATTGGGCTAGTAATGGCCCTATCACACATGGCCGTTGTTTGGATTAAATGTTACAGATAAGGGCACCAAACAATGCCCAGCACACAGCAAACATCAGTAATGATTAGCCATAATGACTATAACACCGCATCAGGCGCTATCCTAGACCATATAGTTACTGTAGTGAGGCTGGCAAGGCCCCTGCCCTGCCTAATACCTGCTAAGTGTTGGGGTGGGGGCGGGGAAGGATTTAGCAGCCCAGGAAGCCTCTCAGAGGAGGAGACATTTCAGCCCAGGCCCACGATCTCACCCGAATGATGAGAAGGAGGCAACTATGCAAGGAGCTGGGGTAAGACGGTTCTATTTATTCACAAACTCACAGATGTAGAGTTTGCTCTTGCAGTTACAGGAAATCATGTAAACAGATTTTTTAAGACTCTAATCCCAGACGCAAAAGAAGTTGTACAGCTAAAGCCCTATAATGAAATATACCATCGCTGTCTTATCCAAGGTCAGATCCCCATCTGCCAGAGGTGCATAACCCAAGTGTAGCTGTTGGATTTTGTACTGATGAAAGTGAGCAACACACCTCCCCCCCAACCCCCACAAAGGATGGACAGGGCAGACTTTGTATAAAATGTGTAGAATTTATGAAAAGCGACTTGACAACCCCCAGGTGGACGCCTTTGTTAACGCTCCTGCTGAGTAGTCCTGGGTCCTTGCTGTTGCTGAGTGTGCTGCCTCCTTTGTTTCACAGATGTTCTCTACCACCTCGTCGTGATGCTGGGGATCTGTGCTGTGTTATAGGAGCCAGGCAGGCAGCTGCAGCTTCTCCGTCCAAGGTCATCTCCGTGGATGACACACTCAACATTTTCTGTGCTGCCAAAAAGCACACACAGAAGACCGCGTTGTTGGGGAACAGGCAATAGCGCTTTGCCAAGTGCATGTTCCAACGATTTGTGTGAATTTCAGTGATTGTTTTCCTTTGGTGCCCCTCTTCCTCTTGTTACTTCCTGTGGCTCTGAGCTCCTGGAGTCCCCCTCGTGCAACTGGCAGGGAGCCTTCTCTCCCTAAACTCAAGGCAGGGCTGTGGTGGACTCCTTTGAAAGCTCTCCTGATTGTAAAAGACCAGCACACCCAGCCAAGTGCAGCTGAGCATGTTCAGGGGAATACAGGGCATAACCACAAAGTCAGTGCTCAGCACAGAAGTCACAGGAAGAGCCAACTTTGATGAAGAGGCCTTTGCCATTGATGCTGCCGATTCTAATCTGAGGATCAGAGCTGAGCCTCAGGGGTTCCAATCTTTCAAACCAAGGTGTGGGGTTCAGAGTGGAATAGAATAGTTTTTGCTCAAATCTGCACAATATACAGGGGAGTAATTCTTGAGCTCCCCCAGTGCTAACCCAATTAATCTTGTTATAGGGTTTCTTAAATATGTGTCAACATTACATAGGTGTAAACTCCTCATTTTTATTGCTGATATATATTTCTAAAATCAAAAGAAACTTACAAATTAAAAATAGGAATACAGCTACAAAAAGAATAAAACTCACATGAACATTAATTTCACATAATGTGGCATTGACTACATGGAGCTGCTGCTTACGGCATGACTACAGAATGGCAGCCATGACAGGTTCTCTGGAGCTCTTCAACCCCGTCCTACCGTAGGCCTTGTGATGCTCACTGCTCTCTTTTTTTCTATTTGCTCTACTAAAGAAATCCTCATTTGTACAGATTGGTCTGACCTCATTTAGCCTCTACTTCAACATTCAAACATCTGTTTTGTCTCAATAACTTATGATCAGTAGAATGGAACCAACAAAAAAATTCAGAAACACAAATGCAGATTTGGCCAATGAATCTTCATGGTGCCACACCCTGATAACATTACCTCCCACCCCCCAGTGACCCAGAATATAGCAATATTAGTCATTTCCATTGTCAACAAAACAAAAATTGAATAAAGCAATCCTGGTAGAGAATTGGCAGATCCCCACGAATGCACTGTAGACCCCAGTTTGAGGCTGGAAGCTGGAGTGAGACTGAAGGTCAGAGGTCTAAGTTCTTTTCTTAGTCTTGTACAGAATTAATTAGTGGGCTTTTATATATTTGAGAAGTTTTGAGATCTGTAGTTTGATGGTTCTTTTACAGTTGTATTAATCAACTCAGAAATGAAGCTAGTTCTCCAATCTCTGGAGACAGAGTACATGTTTGTTTAGCAACAGGCTAGGTTAAAATGGCTTATTGTAGTCCAACCTGTTCATTAAGAATTTTCATAGTCAGGAAGGACAGGAGACATATTTTATTGGTTCTAGTGAAAACTCTCAAATAGCATACTCAGAACCATAATCAAAATCCTTGGTTGTCAGAGTAAAATAATGTTGTATTAGTTTTGCTTTATTTTATCCTAAAATTTAATGATCTTGTTCTCTACCTGGTGCTATCAAATAAATAAAATGCCTTAAAACAAACAACCTATGACTAAGCTCACAGTGTTAATCTATCATGTTGGTAGGTAATTCCAACATTCCCCACAGTTTCTACAACTAGAGCTCCTTAGACTCACATATATCCTCACAGACCTCCCATCATTCTATCCTACGTTTACATTTCAAAAATTTCTAGTATTGGGTTTCTAATGCAAGGAGGTAAAGCCATTTCATATGATTAACATTTTAGGGGAAATTCTTTTTGGTTACCCCGTCTCTAAAGCCCTAATGTTTGTCATCAGCGACTGGGTGTGTTTTGTCTACACGTTAACTAACAGCCCCATGATGGCTGGTTACCCTTCACATCTCATAGCTTCTCTAGTAAGGTGTTAAAAGAGAGCACTCTCCAACAGTCTCTCTTGCAAGTTCCCATTAGTGCTAAACATTAAAGAGACATTTGGAGAGGAGGAAAGAGCACATTCTCCCTTAGATTTTAGAAAATTGCTCTTATCAAAATTCCTGGTTATTATCCCTAAAGACTTTCTCTCTCTCAAAACTTGAATATATATTATAGTATTCATGTGTATATATTTAGACATATATATGTGTGTGTGTATATATATATATATATACACACACACACACACACACACACACACACGCTTATATATATACTGAGTACACACATCAGATAAATTTCTATTAATTGATAGGTATAGACGAGATTAGAGATAGAGATGTAGAGATGGAAATATGTTTATGTGTGTACTCAATATATATGTATGGGTATATTGTAATGTATATATGTATATATACACATGTGTGTGCATGTGATATCTGTGTGCATATGTGTGTATGTATGTTTTATGTATGTGTGTATGACCAACATTTGTGTTAAAATGTTCAGTGAAAAAGGCAGAAGTAGCAACATTTTTATTATAGGAATATGACTGAAGTAAGCATGTGGGCTAGGGCTGGAAGGAAACACAGTCCCTAAAATACAAAGATGGGATAATAATAAACTGCCATACCCCTCCCCATTCCTACATCTGTGTATCATTATCTAATGCTCTTTTAATAGTAACATTATTCGATTGCTTAGTTACTTCTACACATTTGCGCATACCTCTCTTAGTCCTTAATATATTGCATTACTATTATTTATGCCCCCTTTCTCCAACTAAACAGAGCTAAAGACCAAAGAAAGTTTCAATATTTTCTTGTGAACCCCAATGTGGTACCTGGCACAGAGTAAGTGCTCAATAATTCTCCTTGAATTAATTAAATGCTCAGATGGATGGAAGGATGGATGGAGGGGACTGGCCTATCTCTCTAAGTGACCTCAGAGCAGAACTTGCCTTCTTCCCTTTCATGGTGGAGCATGGTGTCTGGGATTCAGAAGTCCAGATCCCAAACAAGGGAAGAAGTTAAGAGGCATGAGGAGATACATGTAGGCCCACTGTCACCATGCTGGGGTAGCAGGGGAAGCGCTCTGTTCCTTCATATAAATGCCTCTGCCCTCCCCCACTCTGAGCATCAGTCAAAAGCTTTGCCCTTTGATGCTGGAGGCCTTCAGAGAGCAGCCAAACCTACTACAATGAAAATGGAATCCACATGGAAAGTGGAGTCTGTGTAGGTCCCAGAGTTCAGTCGCCCACCTCTGGGCTGAAGAAAAGTTCTGCTGATGGAAACGCTCAGGAGCTTGATGGAGACGGACCATTTGAAAAGCACGTCCCTCGGCCACTAGTTAGTGCCCTTCTTACTGAGGAAAGGCAAGAATTCCACCAAACCTTCTGAAAAGTTGGTTTTAAACACTCTCAATCCACCAAAAGGTAGTTTATTTATATATGCAGGGCTCAAAAATACCTCCACAAAGGCAGCGCAGTGGCCATGCTAAAAAACAAAACAAAGCAAAACCTCCCCATCCCCATTGGCTTTCCCCTCTTCAGACGTGGGAAATTCAACAGGAAGAGGTCTTGAACAGGACACAAAACATCATTGGAATTGCTCTGCCACGTTCAGGAGCAGCCCCACGGAAGATCATCTGGACGCAAGGAGTTGCAAGGCGTAGAAAAAGAAGGACTGCAGATGCATTCATAGTTCAGCACATCTATTACAGAACCACGGAATAAATCCGCATGGAATCCTCTTCTCTGTGCAAAGGAGGAAATGTGCAGAGCAGGACAGATGGGCTCATTCATCTTCGTCTGCTGGAGATTACCAAAACAATTAAACACATCCTAAATGAAGGAAAACTTCTACTTAAAAGCCAAGCCTTGATTGCATGCTTTGCCCAGGGGATAGGAAAGACATTAAGCAATACATTGAGGATGGGACATGATCCATTTGGAAGTTGCCATGTTCCCAGAGGTCAGGGCTCCAGACCAGGCCTTCTGGCCACTGACTGCAGGTGTGTGTCCTGTCTGCTTGGAGTGGCCTGGCCCTATTGGATTTCTGTGATCATTCACACCTTAGGTAGAACTTTATCCCCTGCAAACATTCCTCAGATGCCTTCTGATATGAGCTCCCTCTCCTTGTAGGCTGAGTAGCTGATAAGGAAAATAAGCACTAAAGGTTAGGGAGCAGCCACCTTACAAAGGAAGGCAGACAGGGCCAGACCTGTGGGTGGCCCCTCCTCCAGAATGAAACTGGGTTCACTGTGAATTCACAAGCTAATGAGCCGGAAATATTTGGCAGTAGGACAGGCTCCCCGGCAGGGCTGAGAGCAACAGCTCAGCCCTGGTCCCCCAGGAAATGAGCTCACTACATCCAGCTCATCCAACTCCACATTTGCTCCGGGCCACAGAATCCTGGGGTGGGATGAGGAGGCCAGCTAGATGGCACCCCCTACAGGGAGGCTGACTCAATACCCAGAACTACACCCCAGAAATGGTATATTTAACGCACCCCATGGACTTTCATGGGGCCCCACAAACAACTTTAAAGAAAATACTCGCCTCAGAAGACCTCTGGGATTTCAGCCTCTTCCTCAGTAAATTCGGGGAGGGGAATAGAGAAGCCTTCTTTGCCTTTCAACCAGAAAGTTGTTTGTTCTCCTTTGCCCTGTGGGAGGCAGGGGAGACAGCTAGTGAATCACAGGGAGGAGAGGCCGCCAGTGAAGTGTGGCCTCTGAGCAGACAAGTCGGGTCTCCCTCGCTTGCTTGCTGAAAACAGTGTTTGTAGCCAGAACGGAAACCAGCCAGTAACTGCCTCAATGAGGGAAAGGCCTAATTATAGACGAAGTGTTGATCATTTCCTTGGGCTTTTTGCTGATAAGCTTAGATGGACAGTCAGTGATGGCCTAGCGGGTAAGGGCCAGTGGAGGCTAAAGTTGGTTGCAAAGAACGCCTTTAAAAAATAATAACAAATATTTTGAGGCCTTACTATGAGAAAGACCCATGTGATGCATCTCATAGACATTTCATCATTATACTCACCTTTTGAGGGAAGTATTATCACCATTCCTATTTTATAGATGATAAAACCCATCTCCCCAATCAGACAGCTAGTACGTAGTGGGACAGGATTCAAAGCTAGGTCTACACTGCTGCTTTCTAGAAAATTCTTCCTCTTTTCTGAATTCAGTTGATCAAATACAGCTACCAGGGCCAGACTCAGCAAACTGAGGAGCTGAGGCACCCTCTTCCCCTTTACTTCTTTCCCTGGGCCCTCACACCCACCCAAACACCCAATGCCACAGTAAGCACCTGCCACTCCCATGTGAACATCTCCAAGAGGAGAACCCCCTTCCCACCCAGACAGGCAACGTTTATCAGAAAGAGGAGCCTGTGTCATGGCACATTTCAGTGACAGCCTGGATGCCAGCAGAAGGCTTCAGGCAAGGGAAGGGATATTTAAATGTACAGAGATGAGGGCCTACTACCCCCAAGCCAATGGGTTTCTATCCCCTCTGCTTGGACACTTTAGACTCAAGAGAAGGGGCATAGAAGAGCGATGGGTGCTATGATGCTTGGGCTTGTATTTGCTGTTGCCTTGAGTAGACTAGACTAGGGAATTCAAGCAGAAACCAGGAGACCATCTCTGACAAAGAGAAAGGAGCATCCCACAGGGGTTGGTCTGGGTGGGAGAAAAGGTGTCTCCTGTCCTGGACTCCATATTTGACCATTTGAGGGAACGGTACAGTCTTCTCTGAATGAAGACCTGGCAGTCACAGGGGCCTCCACATGGACCTTAGGGGTCTCCACGCCCCTCAGCACAGAGATTCCCTCATCCTGTCAAGTCCTCAGCATCTCCATTAGAGACCCAAAGGGGAAGGTGGGCACAGTTGGTCTTACCTTGACTGAAATGGTGCCTCTCTTTTGCAAATTGTATCCTCCCAATGCCAGCAGGGCGCCTGCGGTGCTCTGAGAGACGTGAATCCGGAGAGCTGCCAAAACAGTGATTGTCTAGTTACAGTCTTGGTTGTGACCTTGTACAGGTTCAGTGGGGCAAGTGCTGCTATGGAGAGGGAGTGCTACCTTGCCCAAATTCTTGGACTGCCAGCAAATCATAGGCAACCTCTCTGAAATCTGGGGCACTTGGGCTGGGACACCCCCCCCCCATACCACCACCACCACCACCACCATCCAGGCATTGCTCAGGCACTATTGGGCACTGCTCACACTTTGATATGTTCAGTCTATGACCAGAAAACGGAACTGACTCCATATGCAAGTGGGAACTCCACATGGCTGGGCTCCCACTTTCAAAATTTACCCTTAAAATCTCTACTTAGAAGCTAAAAGAGCTTTTATCAATGCAACAAAACTACTGTAAAACAAAACAATTTGCTGTCCCCTGGAACTCCTGGCCACAGGTCTGTTCAGCAACAACAAAACTATACATCAGAGATGGGCCAGTTACCACCCACAGGCCAAATCCAGCCCACCACCTGTACCTACAAATAAAGTTTTATTGGAACATGGCTACACCCATCAGTTAGATACTCTCAACGGCTGCTTTCACACACAATAGCGGTTAAGTAATTGCAACAGAGACTCTGGCCAATAAAGCGTAAAATATTTACTGTCTGGTCCTGTACAGAAAAAGTCTGCTTCCTCCTGCTCTTCATTCAAGCAACCTGATTGTATGTGTGCCTGCCTAGCTAGAATGGAGAGTTCTGGAAGGGGGCAGGCTGTTTACAGGGCTCCACAGAGAGGACGGTGTGAAACTCCACCTACAAAGCTTGCAACCGGTGTTGTCTGAAGTGGATAGCGATCTTCCCCTGGAAATGGAAACCAGCAGACAAGATGCAAATAGGTCTTCTAAAAATACCCTTCGGTTAAAGACAGGGGCCTGGAGGGACAGTGACACTGTGTTTACCAGGCGCTGAAAGTGATACCCACGCAGGCTGCTGCTTTCCATTCTGGAGGCCATGTTCACAGTGTCTCCAAACAGACAGTATCTGGGCATGGTGGTTCCCACCACACCAGCCACCACAGGACCTGCAGAGGGAAGAACCGATGGCCAAAACCGGTCTGCATTCCCAAGGACTGGACTCCACGGTACACATCGGACCAACAAATGCAATTCAATCAATGTTAAGTGCCCTCGAGGGCAAAGCTTGGCAATAGATTTTAGGGATCACAAAGAGGCAAACTGCAGAACACACACACTTCTGGTGGAAAACAACATAACCAGTTGTTATGGACTGAATGCTTGTGTCTGTCCCACATTCACATGTTGAAGCTCTAATCCCCAATAGGTTGGTATTCGGAGGTGAGGCCTTTGGAGGTTATTAGGTTTAGATGAGATCCTAAAAGTAGAGACCTTAGGCTGGCATTAGTGCCCTTATAAGAAGAAGGAGAGACACGGTAGCTCTCTCTCTCCACCAGTGAGGACACAGCCAGAGGCCGCCATCTGCAAGCCGGGAAGTGTTCCCACAGGGATTCCATGTTGGAATCCTGATCTTGAACTTCCCAGCATCTGGAATTGTGAGAAAAATACCTGCTGTTTAAGCCATCCAGTCTATGGTATTTTGTTATAACAACCACGCTAACTAAGACAGAAATTAATGATAATATTGTTCATGCACTGGAAATATAAACAAAGCAACAGCGGCACAAACTTTGGGCTAATTCATTCTGATTGGGGCCAGGTTTTACCTAAGTAAAGCCATAAGAATAGGTAGGAGCAAGTACGGCTACACAATTTGCAGGTCCTAGTAAAAAAAAAATGAAAATAAGGGACCCCTCATTCAAAACTGATTAAGACTTTCTGGAGAGAGACAGAAGAGCATTGAACCATGTGCAGGGACTCTGCATGAGTCACGTGCCCATGAGGTTGTCAGAAACAGAGCAGATCAAAGGGCATCAAATGCAGAGGCATGGAGGGAAAGCTGCCCAATGTAATCTCCTGGTTTCTTCTCCTCATTTTTTTAAAATATATTTTTATTGATTTTTTACAGAGAGGAAGGGAGAGGTATAGAGAGTTAGAAACATCAATGAGAGAGAAACATCAATCAGCTGCCTCCTGCACACCTCCTACTGGGGATGTGCCCACAACCAAGGTACATGCCCTTGACCGGAATCGAACCTGGGACCCTTCAGTCCACAGGCCGACGCTCTATCTACTGAGCCAAACAAGTTAGGGCTCTTCTCCTCATTTTTGGTTCACCTGGAAGTCTTTGTGTGTCCTTGTTGTTACCAAGCAATCTAGCTAACTAGAAATATACATGTGAACATAATTCAACCTTTTATTTCCTTAAGATGTTACCATTTAGTTTCAGGGTTTCCTAAAAGCCCTAGGACTTGAAACCGGAACTACCTGCTGCCACCCCTGGACCATGAGGCCACCTGCCGCCAGCGCTGTCTACCTGTGTGGAGGCCGATGCGGAGCTTGAGCTTCTCCTGAGGCATGTGCGCGATCTGGAAGTGGACGGTGGCACTGAGGAAGTGCAAGGCCATGGTGGCAATCTCCTCCACATGCCGAGTTCCATTGCGGAGGGGAAGTCCACTAGCCACCATGTATGCATCTCCAATGGTTTCGACCTGGAAACAAAGCAATGACATGGCCTGTGTTCGCCATGAGGGTGGGGTGGGCTCAGAGATCAAGGTCCCTCATTATGGACCCTTGCTTTGAGGCCCCAGACTTTGAAGGGCCACACTCCCTAACCTCCACTCCATCAAAGTCCCAGCATTTTATCAAATTTGCCCCCGTCCAGGTTCAAAGCCTTCCTGCCCCAAGCCTTCCTCGCCACAATCACTGCTTCCTTCTCTGAAATCTGATAGTGGTGGTGACCCTGTTTTGCCAACCCAGGTTCAAAACCAGTTAGACAGGCAGCAGTGTACTGATGGGGTAAATCTTGAAGGATCAAGTGGATCCATGTATGTATCTGTCTGATCGGTCCTCCTCTCTCCCCATCCTCCTAATAAAATCAGCTTTCAGATCCCTCCTTCACTACAGAGAATAAATGACATGTCTAATTTTAACGTTAAATATAGCCCTTTCCAGATACGTTTGCATTTTAGGAGACTTCAATGATGATGTGGTAAAATGTGGAATTTCAGATTAGCAAGTGGTACAAACACCTCTGTCTCCTGGTTACCATGAACTTGTAGAGTTAACCAGCACACAAGTCTAACTGCTTCTATGCTCTCTCCCCACCACAAGCACATTTAGAAATACAAATGGATTCTAGACCGGCTCATACAAAACCCAACTGCACATATAACACTAAGAGGAAACCCCAGAGGAGGCCCCCCTGAGTCAGATAGGTTCTGTTGAGCATAAATGCTCTGCTCTTTGAAATTATCCATGCCATCCTTTCCTTTGTCCTGAACAGAGGCAACAATAATTGGGGGATAATAATTGAGGACAGGTCACTGAGGAACATGACTATGCTGTCCCCCAAACCTCCCTGGCCCCAGGGCCATAGCACAGCCCTAAAATCATGGTCAGACTGGTACACTGTGGCTGCCCTCCAAGCATGAGTGGACATGGACACTCTGGAGTCATGAGCTGGCCTTGGCTGAAAAGTCAGAAAATACAAGTGTCATCATCATCACCCGCTGAAAGAAGGCAATGCATGTTTTTGTTATCATCTCCCACAACCATTTTCATTCTAGGTGACCCTGTTCATCCATCCCCACAGTAGCTCTGGGCAGCGGGTTGGTGTCTCACCTTTAGCTAGGAGACTGCTCATCTAAGCTTGGGAAGCTGTCTTCGTTTGAATTGCTAAGGATCACAGTCACAGAGCCAAAGACAACCTTTAAAGAAGAGTGAACCTGCTAAATCTCTCTGCCTCTGAAGGACATACTAGTATATTCAGGAGGTAAGTGGAGGAATTAGCCAGCAGAAGGTCAGTGCCTCTTTCAGAAATGAGTTTTCTGGGAGATAAAATAATGGAAGAAAACAGAGGGAACAACTGATACTTCCTGGCAAGTACATACATCTCTGATTAATCAAGCCCTTTTCCAGAGAACAAACAGGAATAAAATATTGAGTTTCTGCCATGAATTGAGATGGACTGCCAGCATGAACTTGCGCTTTCCTCCTGGTTGCTGTCTGGGGCCGGTTCACCCTCACTCAACCCAGGAACCAGCATCTCACCTTATACACGTCGTAAGTTTCAATGATGTGATCGAATAAACTGTAGAGGTCATTGAGGAGCTTCACAACTTGCAAGGGAGAACTGAGAGAAGAGAGTTTTGTGAATCCAACGATGTCAGAGAAAAAGACGGTCACGGACTCAAAATGTTCTGGTTCCACAGACCTTCCAGCTATAAGCTGTTCTCCAATGAAACTGAAACCAGAGAAAAGAACGGTTACTTAACAGTGTCATATTCATCTTGTCTCCTATAAACCCTTCCCTACAAAGTCACCCTGGTAGATCCTTTGGCTTCATTGGATTAGGTTTTTGTTTTGTTTTGTTTTTTGTGTGTTTTTTTTAATTAACAAAACCCATCATCTAGAGGGGATTCTTCTAATACCTGCTTCTCCACCTGTATTTTGTCTAAATAAATATTTTCATTAGGGTGGGGGAGGAACCGGTCACATAAATGCCTTTACAAAAAAGATTTTCTCCCTCAGGGCACTTTATTTCCCCCTATGGTTATAGAGTTTGGTTATAAAGACTTGGTCTGCAGCGGTGGAAGCAAATGTAAGCATTCATTGATCTATAAATCAATATTTTTACTTCAATCTACCAATTTCACATTCACACATTCAAAGCCTCAACCCCATTTCTTTGCTCAAGACATATAGGAAGGGTGCAGGAATTTTAACAGAAGAGGCTTCTGCCAAGGTTTTAGAAAGTGCATAGATGAAAATAGAGACAAAAAAGAAAGCAAGTTTTGAATCTAAAGTAATTGGTATATAGTATATACTGTATACTGTATTGTGTTGTGCAAAGGTTTTGGATGTACAACCTGAAATACTGGAAAGTTAGCAATTGACTAGACTCGTGGACCTGGAGCGCCATCTAGTGGTCACTCTCCTGTTGGTGCATCCACCATCTTCCATGTAAAAGACCTACGTTCTCATCATCCAAAGTGAAGTCTCCTTCCATCACCATTTATCCCTCCTTTACCCTCTTCCTTTGAGTGCTGAACACACAATACAATATACAGATGACTATTAAAAAAGAAATTCTGCAAAAAAACCTCATTCCTAACTGAGACACCAAGTGCATGGATTTTGTAGTCATTTGACATATATGAATAAATGATCCGAGAATAAACTATTTCATTTGGGGAATTTTTATGTATCATGTATTTCAAAGATTGAGGGCAAAATGATTGAGCAAAGCAGGTCAAGTACATACATAAACACCTAAATTCAAAAATAAATAAATAAATACAATAAGTTATAGAAAAAAATTTAATAAAAAAATAAAAGACCTACACTCTCTATTCCTATGGATTCTAGGGCCTTTGCCTCCATCTCTCTTTATAGGGTGTACCAATTTACATGCAAAATGCTTGATCCGTTTTAGAAGAACCCGGTGTCCTTTTAGAAAAAGGACAAAGAAAATATTCTCTTCATGTGAGGCCAATTAGGTGGCGATGCTGTTGCTTCCTGGGTCCCTTTGTGAAGGCTCCCAACTCTCTGGAATACCTGGGCAGTATTGTGGACAGGAGCTTATCCACCTTCCTCTTCTCTGCCATCATCTGGTTGGTCCTCTCTTCCACCACCTCCTCCAGGTGATTGGCATACACTTCCAGCTTGCTCACCATACTGTCTAGTATGCTCACGTGGCTTTAAAAGAACCCAGACATTAGTGTCTTTTTCCAAGAACTTTAGGATCATAATTGAGCACAACCTCCAACTATACATTCCAAGTAAACATGTCTCGCCCTTAAGGTTTCTGACTTCAGGGTTGCCAATGGGCAGCAGTGAAGTGACAATGGCAAAGAGGCCATTTGGCAGGACAGAGCCTGCCCTTTATCGGCTCTGAGGTCTCAATCTGTATCCTTTATTCCTCTGAACCTCAGTTTCTGCATCTGGATATATATATATATATATATATATATATATATATATATATATATATATATATATCCCTAATATACAAATAGACCAAACAGCAGAACAACCGTACAACCAGTCGGAACATGGTGGGCATCGGCCATGGTGGGATGGTAGAATAGGTGAGCGGGGGTGCCAGACCAAGGCGTGGCGCTGGTCACTATCATCGGGGTGAGCCTCTGGTGGTTACTGAAAATTCTTTGCTCCCGCACACTGTGGTCCTGCCCGGTGCTCACACTGCTGCCAGCACCGGCCCCGCTTGCACCCGCAGCTGGTGCTGGAGCCACCACTCGCACCCACTACTGGCACCCGGCACCAGTCCCAATTCATCAGTGCCATCAGCAGGTGCGAGCAGTGACTGCCGTCCCTGATCACCCCTGAGGGCTTCTCCACTTCCCCTGCTCCTGAGAGTTTATTTGGGCAGCAGCCACCGCTCGCACCTGCTGCTGGCGCCAGACCCAATCGCTCTGCACCATCAGCGGGTGTGAGCGGGGCCAGTGCTGTCAGCACGTGGGAGTAGTGGTGGCAGGAGCGGGGCTGCTGGCAGGCAGGGAACTGGGGGCCGCGGTGAGAGGGGCCAGGCGGGGGCGTGCAGGATGGGCCGAGACCTGCCCCTGTGCCCACTGCAGCCTTGCAGCCCACAGTTCCTTTCAAGGTGCACAAATTCGTGCACTAGGCCCCTAGTTTTAGAATAATAATACATACATACTTTGCAGGGTTGTTCTAAGGATTCAGGGAGATAATGTTGAGAGTCTGGAACCCAGTGGACACTCAACAAGTGGTGGCATTCACTGGCCCAACATGCTTCATACCATTGTTACAGCCAATCAAAAATGTAGATTTTTAGGACAGATCATTCTTTGTTGTTTTTTCAGATGACAAATATAAGGGGCACTTCTAGATCCTATAGACTCTTGTTTTTGAAGGCTCTTCAGAGAAATTTAAATTCCTCATCTTTCAGATGAGGACCTGAGGCTCACATGGGAAATGTACTTGCTTTAACATTAGGGACCATATTTTCTGGGTAAAAAGTCAGGACATATCAACTGACCTGACACATACCATTTAAAACTATTTTGATGTGGAAAATGCAGAATACAGGGCTGTTCGTGTTAAAGCTGCATAGTGAAATGGCAACATCTGGAGTAGATTCCTAACTCCTAGCACAGGACTTCCCCTACTAACCCCAGCTAATTCTAACATGGCTGTACCTTCATATGTTCAATGTGGTAGATGATGTAATTATCCTGGTTTGAAGCCAGTTACTATTGAGAGCATTCTTTGAGAGGAGTGAATAATTTAACTCAATAACCTACTTTAAGGTTGGTGCATAATTCTTTATTGCATAAGCACAATCCCAGCTGAGTAGTCATGACCCTTGGAATGCTGGTTTGAATAGTCAGAGGCCCTGTCACTGATCTCCCTGGGACCTTGACAGGTTAGATGGATTAGTGATGCCTGGAATGGACCAAGACGGGCAATGGAAGTATGACCCATTTTTGGAACATTTGTGAAATAAAGGGAGAATTTATCAGTCCACCTTCACCAGCATGTAGCTCAGTGATTTGCATGTGGTAGGCATTGAGTATATGAGGGAGGAAGGAGGGAAGGAAGGAAGGAAGGAAGGAAGGAAGGAAGGAAGGAAGGAAGGAAGGAAGGAAGGAAGGAAGGAAAAAAAGAAGGAAGGAAGGAAGGAGCAACTACAGCCACATGATTTCAAAATTCTAATGGCTCAGTGAGGAGGAGAAATGTCTGTTGCACACCGAACTCACCCTTTGGGGCTGGCATCTCGTAGAATTTTCTTGATGGAAAGGAATGTGGGTCTTTTCTCAGGCGACTCATCCCAACACGCTCTCACCAGGACCACAATCTTCTCATTGACCTTGTCCTCTTGCAGGGAAGGTCGCAGTGGAACTGATGCCCTGGGGTCTCGGATTCGGCTGAGGATTTCTGAAATCCATTTTGGGTTTAGATATCCAGATGTCAGAACTTTGTGCCACTTAGTATGCTTCACTTTAAACAGATGTGCTCTTAAATTTGTATATTGAATTTCCAAGTACACAGAACAGATTAGAATTTCAGATAAATCTGAATATAAGAAATATTCTGAATCCTCCTGGAAAATGAGGAATCTACATCCTATAAGTACCCCCTGATTTATCCTTTTTTAGATTAATTTTTTCTAATAGAACTTTTCTTAAAGTAAAGCATATCTCTATATGATTTCAGAAGTATATATGCATTTTGTAGTAGAAATCTCCAAAGTGTACTTTATACAATTTTGCGTTCCATATATATTACATAAAAGATCTTTTAACAAATAATAAATATTATAGATCAGAGACTGCAAGAGTTTGGGGAGGAGAGAAGGTTGAATAGGCAAAGGGCCTGAATTTTTTTAGGATGATGAAACTATTTGGTATGACACTGTAACAGTGGATACAGGACACTACCTATTTGCCAAAACCCATAGAACTTTACAGCCCAAGGAGTGAACCTTGAAGAATGCTAATTTTAAAAAATATCAGTTGAGGGATTGGAAGACCCCAAGACAGAATGCAGATTTGTGGCAAAACAATTTAACTGCGTGACCAATGTATGATGGATCTCACTGAAGGGGGTGGAGGTGGTGGGGAGTGGCCTGTGGACTGAAAGGAAAAAGCCAGGAGAGATGGAACCAGGAAGGTGTAGTGGGTTGACTGGTGATCCCTAAAAATATATGTCCATGTCCTTATCCCCAGAACCCATGACTGTGACCTTATCGGAAAAAAAGTCTTGCAAATATAATTAAGTGTCTTGGGTTGAGGAGATCATCTTGGATTATCCAGGTGGGCCCTCATCCAACGACAAGTGTCCAACAGACAGAAGAGATTTCAAGGAGGAGTCAATGTGGAGATGGAGGCAGAGACTGGAGCCCTGTGGCCACAAGCCCATGATGACTGGACCGCCACCAAAAGCTGGAATGGATCTACCCTTGAGCCTCCAGAGGAAGTGCAGCTTTGTTGAACCTTGATTTTGGACTTTTAGCCTCTGGAACTATGAGAGAGTAAATTTCTGTTGTTTCAAACCAACAGGTAGTTTTGTGGCAACTTACTATGGCGGCCCTAGGACACTAACATACAAGACCACTGAGGCCGGTTTAGAGGCCTTTGATGGTCTTGCAGGCCATTGTAAGGACTTAGTCTTCACTCCCAAAATGGGAAGCTAGGGGAGGCTATTGTGTAGAGAAGCAACACGATCTTACTCATTGTCTAACAGGATCTGGCTGCTGTTATAGAATAAACCATGTCATTCTGAGTTCCTTGGTTTTTTTAATCAAACTGTAATAGTTTTCTAATTCTTTAAAAAATATATAAATTTTTAAAAGAAAAAATAAGAATGAAATAAATTGTAAATTAAGAAACATTTAGCAAAAACAATCACAAAAACAAGCATTTGTGAGCCAACCCAGATCACCACAGCCTGCCAAGGAGCCGCTCCCAGCGTTACCGTCTGGTGTTTCGTCAAGGTCCTCAAAAGGCCCGAGCGCATGCTGGTGGATCAGCTCCCTCATCACAATGGCGAAGCTGTAAGCATCTCCCTTTGGGGTGCCTGACCGGGGCGCCTCTGGGAGCCGCAACAGCTCTGGGGCGGTCCAGTAGAGCTCTGTGAAGCAAGGTGACATAGGCCCAGAATGAGAGTTTCCAGGTAGAACCGGAAAGCCGCCCTTTCTAGGAAGCTCAGGAGAACTGAGAGCATCCAGCCCCCGAGAAGTCAGCCCCATGGTGCCCGACTTACAGAGCTACCAGGGTCCCCATGTGTGAATACAGAGAAAATAACCAGGAAGAACGGGCACTAACATGTTAACAGTGGCTAACTCGTGGCTGTGCAGTGACAGGTGCTATTTCTTTTCCCTTTCTGAATTGCCTACATAACACAAAATTAATCATTTTAAAGTGAGAATTCAGTGGCATTTAGTACACTCACAATGTTGTGCAACCACCACCTCTATCCATCTATCCAGTTCCCAACCATTTCCAACACCCCCAAATAAAACCTTATACCCCTTAAGCAGTTTCTCCCTGTTCCCCTCTATCCCCAGCCCCAGAAAACCATCAGCCTGCATTTTCTCTCTAGAGTTATCTATTCTGGATATTTTATACACTTACATTTTTTTCTAGTGAGGTGTACAGGCTTGTGTTATTATAGGTATGATCATTAAAAGAAAATATATTGGAGGATGGAGAAATAGGAATGACTACGAACAGCTTTCTAAGTTGCCCCCTTTGTCTTTCTCTGTAACACACATGCTACCTCATGTTATAGGACCTCCCCACATGCACTCAGCAAAGTGCTGCCAGAGAGAAGTGGTCAGGGCTGAGGGCACTGGGCTCAACAGGACCCAGAGACGTAGGAGGTGAGACGCAAGAGCACTCAGCTGCCTCCACTGCTCCCATGAGAAGGAGGTTGACTCCCAATGGTAGGTCTTGTCGTTAGACGCCCACCAGAATCACTTGGGAGCTTTAAAAACAATGCGATGCCCAGACCCCATCTTCAGATATTCTGATTCAGGGGCTGCAGCGTGGAACCCAGCTACCTATAAAATGTTAAAAGTTTCTCAAGTGATACTGAAACCCAGAGAGAACAGAACGGCCAAACCCTTCATCCTTAAAGCGCCTGGCAGATCATCATTCTACACTGAGAAGGTAGGAAGATGTGATGGGACACAGAGGACTACAGAGAAGGACGGTGACTTGTTTCAGGTCACCCAGCTAAGCTGGGATGAGGACCAGCTCCTCTCACTCAGACATCACACCATGGACTTGTGCCACCTGTTCCCATCTCCTTGGGTGAACAGAGCAGCCACATACCACTGGCTCCAGCAGGAACACCCACCCACAGGTACTGTGCACATGAGCGACAAGAAGCAGAAATGGGGTAAGGAATGAACCCCTTTACCACTCAACCGAAAGCTAGTGGGTCCAAGACCTGCCAGTAGTTACCTGAGTGGTCTTTTGTTTTCTCATTATATGTTCTGTATGTCTGGCCGTACTTGAGTTCCCACAGCCCAAATCCCGACAGCTTCACCTGCATCCGACCATCCACCAGGCAGTTGGAAGGCTTCAGGTTTCCATGGGACCTCAGTGGGCTCCTATGAAGGAACAGCATGCCCTGGGAGAGTGAAAATGAGCAACTGAATTAGAGCAGGTGCCAAGGGACACCAGTGGAAGGAGAGACAGATGGACAGGAACACAGATGTGCAGCCCCAGGGTAGGGGACGTAGCTGTCTCTGTTCATTTGTTCAAGAGCCACTGACACGGCCCTTCACCCAAGGAGTCAAGATGGGCACAGACACCCAAAAAGGAGAAAACAATTTCTGGTCCTTGAAGGCAAGGCCAGCTTAGTGATCGTAGTCCTGAGTTCAAATCCCAGCTCTACCACTTAGTAGAGGGCAAGCTACCTTACCCCTACCAGCCTCCTTCTTCTCATCAAAATGGAGATGACAATGAACCCTACCTCATAGGGTTGGCCATGGAAATTAAATGCAGTCATACACATGCGACATCAGACATGATGCATGACACAAAGTAAATATCTACTTAAATTTAATGAAAAATGTGATAAAGAATATTTACTGAATAAAAAAAACTTGCAAAGAGAAGTGAGTCAGAGAGGTAGGGATATAATAGCCAAGATCTGAAAACAAGCTAGGTATCCCTTGATGCATGATTGGATAAAGAAGATGTGGTACATATATAAAAGGAATACTACTCAGCAGTGAAAAATGAAATATGGCCATTTGGAATAACATGGATGGTTCTTGAGAGTGTCATTTTAAGTGAAATAAGCCAGAAAAGGACAAGAACTACATGATTGCACTCATATGTGGGATATAAAATAGAAACCAACAAATGAACAAATAAGACAAACAAACTCATAGACATAGACAACAGCATGATGGTTACCAGAGGGGAAGCCAGTAGGGGGAAGACAAGGAGGGCAAAGGGGGTCGAATATATGGTAAAGGAGGAAGACTAATTTAAAATTTTTTTAAAGAAAGGCAGTGATTGTTCTCATCCAGCAAGGAGACAAGGGAGGGTAGGGGTGTGTCTTCCCATGGGCAGAGAGGGGTTTAAAGAAAGGCCTAGAGTTGAGGAGGGAAACAATGATTTGGGAAGGACAGGGAAAGGAAGAGATCAATTTGGACAATGAGAACTGTCGTGTTTGAAACATGGTTAGAGAGGCAGATGTGTGCATTTCTCTGATATTTGCGAGGACAGACCTAGAAGGAGTGAAATGAAGGTTAAGGGAAAAGGCTAACTGCATGCCAGAAGCCAACCATCATGGTTTGGGCACATGGAGCGGCCCACTGTTCCCATTTTGGTTCTTTATTTCCTTACTTTCCTCAAAGGCTTCATGAAGAAGCATTTAAATAATAGTCATTCAACATTGCCAGTTTCTCAGACTTAAAATACTGACCTAAAGGACCTCTATATCTTTCATCTGAATCTCTGAATCATTTATTTTCAGAATCCTTTGTTTGGGAGCTGGGAGAAAACTGACAGCTCAGTATGTCCCAGGCACAGGGCTGTCATAGAGCTGATTTACCTGTTTCAGGCTGGGTAGCCTGGGCCTTCCCATACCTGCCTCAGCCATGAGGTTTCAGAGCAAGAGCAAAAAGGACAACACCTCTTTCTCAAGGCTTTCACTGGAACTTTTTTAAAGTTTAGAATGCTAACCTTATGCCAGGTAGCCATCTAAGTCCCTTACTTACACTAGCTCATGTCACACCTAGTGAACCGCAGAGATCGGTAGTATGATCGTCAACCTCCTTTTACAGATGAGAAAAGAGAAATGAACTTGACCCAGGTCACACAGCCGGCCAACAGTGGAGCTGGGCTGGGAATTCTGCAGTGTGATTCCCAACCAGCTGATCCTCTGCTGATAAAAGAAGGCTATGAAGGGCAGAGGGTGAGAAGTGATTATTTTAGACATGAGGTTCCAGGAACATCCATACTGTAATATGGATTTGCGATGAACAAATAAGCAACCATAAACCCTTTTTTGAGACTTACTTTGCACTATGCATTGAAGTACTTGGAACAGGGGACCTAATACATTGGGGCCTTGACTTACTAGTGTCCCGACTAACGAGTTTTTTGAGATACCAGCTGTCTCTCGGCCAATTTTTTGCATTGAGTTGATAGAGTAATTTGAGTTAACAAGCTCAGTCGTGGAACGAATTAAACTCGTAAGTCAAGGCCCCACTGTACATGTTGTCTAGCGCATTTAGCCTTTGCTGGGATAGGTAATATTCTCCTCTGTTTCACAAGGAAACTCAGGGTTTTAAACTGCTCCCTAGGAGTGGATGCAGAGCTGGGATAGAAACCAGGCTGTGTTATCTACAAAGCCCAGCTACTTCTAAACCACTAGCTTTTACTGTTCCCAACACCCTACATGATTGTGGAGGAATTCTCTTAATACACTTATACAAGAACAGCCAGGTTCAAACGAATCTTAAGCCCAGCTGAGAAGGAGGTGAAGTCACCCATGGGTGTGGCCACAAGGAGGCACTGGCCATCAGGGTTCCAAGAAGGGCTCCTGAATGGACTACTGCACCCGAGACAGGGTCCTTGGACCTTTTGGGCACCAGCTCAGGGACTCACCTCTGCCTCCAGCAGTGATGACAGGCTGAGTCACTGTCCCACCTTAGCAAGAGCCCTAAGCCAACGCTACATTAGCAATACAGGCTAATACAGAAAGCAATAAGGAAACTTGAGGGACAGTGAGTATCCCACCCTTGTCCCCTGACCCCCAAAAGACAGGAGGGCATATTCCTTTATCATTGTGGCTTGTTTGTGTTCTGAGATAATAGAGTTGAATCACATGTTGGAAGTACAACTCGCTCAACTAGACCTGGAGGGGCCTGGCTGGAGCTGCCTCTGGAATTTCTCCAGGAAAGGCTCCAACTGGCCAGGTCTGGGCTTGAAATCTGGGGAGACCTATGTCCAATCCAGAGTTCTCTCTGACCTCACCGAGACCTCTCATGCAGCAGGACTGCCCCTGACACACATGATCATCCCTTGCCTTGGCCCACCCCAGGCACGAGATAGTTTACATTCTGGTCACCACCAATCTCCCCAGACATCCAGGGACAGTAGAGCTCATGCTATTAGGGCATAGGCAACCTGTTTGGATGCTCGGAATCCTATGTTGCAGTCCTCTCCAGGAGACAGACGTACCTCTCTGTGGTGGTGTTTTTCTCTCTTGATGGAAATGCATGGGCATATGTACATTGTCAGAGAACAAATAGAACCATGAGAGGTGCGTGATTTATGTACCAGATTTTATGCGTTTTGGCAATTCTATCACCTACCTGACTGCTAGTTACATTTATTTCCCTGTTAGAAAGTTGGGGATGGTCCTGGGGGCTCTATCTCTGGATCCCACATCTGTGCTCTCTGGAACTTGGTGGGGAGGAAACGTAGCATGACTCAACTACGGAGACAGACTAGCAGCAAGCCCCAATCTACCTCTTACCAGTTGGGCAGGTTACTTGATCTGAGTAAGCCTCATTTTCCCCCTCATGAAATGGAGTAAATATTAATATTGGAGCTGGTGAATTAATAATGAAGTTCATTGTGATGACTTAGAGCACCATCCACTTGAAATATAATGCAAGCCACAGGTATAATTTTTAATGTTTTCATTAAACAAGTGAAATTAAGTTTAATAATATAGTTTATCTAACCCAATGTATTAAGAGATCTTATCATTTTAACATATAATCAACATAATAATATCAAGTATTTTATATTTTTTTGTTTTTTTGCTAAGTCTTCGAAATCTGGCAGACATTTTACACTTTTATAGCACATCTTAATTTGGACTAGTCCTGTGGCCAGAGTTTAATAGTCACATGAGGCTGGTGGCTACTATACTTGGACAGTGCAGACTTAGCCCATAGGATTGTTGAAGGAATGAAATAAGGAAGTGCATGTTTTTTAGTACTAGTAATGGAGTTATCTCTGATAGTAATGATACTACTGCTCCTACTGATACTGACAATTAATATTTATTGGATACTTTTAATGGGGTAGGCATGGTTCTGACCATTTTACGTACCTTAGTCCTTATAGAAACCCTAGGAGGTAGGTACTCCTGCTATCTTTATTTTATTCACAGGGAAGCTGAAGCTCAGGGTAGTTAAGGTCACCTGGTCAATAAGTAGCAGAGCCAAGGTTCAAACACCCAACACATCTTCTTTGCCAACTGCCCTTGACCCCCTTAATCCATCAAGACTTCTCTTCCTCAGAAATAGAGGCCCACCTCTAACTCAAGAAGAGTGCTATTCTCCCCAAAGCCTCTTCCCAGGCTGGCCCCACTGGTTGAGCTCCTTGGGGACAGGACAATGAGCCTTACTTCTCTGCAACCTCCATTCCCAGAATCAGGTTTGACCAAAATTAGGTGCTCAATCAATATCCTCTTGTTATTTTGAAAAGTCTGTGACATCTCAGAATCTCTATGATACCTGGCATACAGGAGTTTCTTGTCAAATAGACATCAGGGGAGGAATTGTTTTTATGATTGGTTTGTGGTGGCCAGAAGCATAATCTGACCCATAGAGGTTGGCCCCATGCCTGGGTTCCTATCAGGTCACCCATGGTAAGCTCTAAGAGGCTGCAGTGAATTGTGTTACTTTCAGTCCCCTTTCAAGGAATGCTGGCAGAGTAACTGGCCTCGAAGTGCCTTAATCTAGGTCGCTGTGACCTCCTTAACCAGTCCCATCCTGTGCACACTCCATTTCTAGGGAAAGCAATCCTTCCAAAACAAGGTGCCAAGCTGTCCTTCTGGCATAGAGTAGGGGATAGACTCAGTGACCTAAGGTAGCTGATTATTCAATTACTAGAGACCCAGTGCACGAATTCGTGCACTGGTGGGATCCCTCAGCCTGGCCTGCACTCTCACGCAATCTGGGACCCCTCGAGGCATATCAGACTGCCGGTTTCACCTGATTCCTGAAGGCCAGGCCGAGGGACCCCTCTGGTGCATAAATCCATGCACTGGGCCTCTAATATGCATATAAAATCTTTGGTTAATCTCTTCCCGCCCTCCCCCTCCCCCCTTCCTTCTGAGATTCATCAGTCTGTTCGATGTTTCCATGCCTGTGTGTTGAGCATCTGTCCCCTGGTGGTCAGTGCACATCATAGCTACCAGCTGAAAGGTCAACCGGTTGCTTAGGCTTTTATATATATATAGATCATTCTCACGGACCTCAGCATTTTTCCAGAGAAACCTTTGGCTTAATGCTTCTTGAAAGCCAAATGGTGACACTGGAAAGGCTAAATCTATTGGGCATTCAGACTTTGGTGAGTGAATTCTTCACATCCAATATAAATGATGTTGGCTGCTTTGAAGGGGCATGAACCAGATCACTGGAAGTCTAGCATACTTCCCTGGGTTTGCTGCAGGAAGAGAAATGTGGGTGAAGGGAAGGAGAGAGGAGCCAGAGTAGGAGAGGATGCCATGTCACATTCTTCTATTTTATAACTACCACCACCACTTCAATAATTGTATATGTGCATTTCCTGTGTGTTTTTTCTCTAGCTAGATTTTACGCCATTTAAAATTAGAAACAAGTCGTTATTTTCTTACAAAAGTGCCCAGAGGGAGATAAATCATTAACAGATGCTCAATTAAGTTTACTGAAATAACAGTGCTGGCCCAGTGTTGTCCATAGAGACCCAATCACAAGGAAACCAACAAGGTTTCTGTTTGTCTAACTTGCTTCCCATTAAGGCCCAGGAAATCGAAATCTCACAGACCATTAAGACTCAGCTCCTTAAACAAAGAGCAATTAAATCCCTGAGAAATAAAAGACTTTGGATGTCAACAGACCAACCTCATCCTTTAATCCATATGGAGGTTGAGGTCCAGAGAGGGACCAAAAGTCAAAGTCACTCAAGGAGTCACAGCCTTATACTCCAGAAGGAGGGAGTTTTTGTTTCACCTTTGTATCCCTCACAACACCAGGCTGGGTCTTGCCCACAGGAATCTATTAGTTGATGGATGGACTGTTGATTGAGAGATGATGACCAGCCAGCCCTGCTGGTTGTCGGACTGAGGGGCTTCCTCACCAGAACCCAACCCCAGGTCATTGACTTGGTCCTCTCTTATGATAAAACAGATGCAGTGAGTTTAGAAAGAACAGCTGTATTGTAGCCCAGGTTGAGAACGTCAGCCTCAGGTACATAATGACATGGCCCATCTGACCTATCTCCCATCTATGAAATGGGGCTAATAATAGATCTACCTTATATTTTGGTAAATTAGTATATACAGAATGCTAGAAAGTATTGGGGCCAAAGAAAGCACTAAATATATTTTAGCCATTATTATTATTATCATCATCATCCATCATCCTTTTTACAGCCACCTCAGCCCCCTTTGCCCAAAGTAAAAATTCTGCCTGTATATATAAATTCACAGATTTTCACCCCCTGTATAACAGCTTTGTGGTTATTATGGCACTGATCCCCATTTTCTGGGGAAAGGAACCAGGGACTAGGAAAAAGGAAGTATTATTGAGAATCGGGGACTAGGAAAAAGGAAGTGGTATTAGGAATCCTTCAGCTTGCTTTATGATCTAGTAATTAGATTTTCTTTGGGCAAAAAGTTCTGTCCTAAAATGTAAGTACCCTGCTCTTTTCTGGTTGGGTAAATGTAGCATCCCTTCTGACTTTAGTATAAAATATTTTTTACTCTCTTGATATTTACTTGAGGTCAGGGGGAGAGAAAAGAATGGGAAATCTGATTGAAGTGGTAGATTTTAGAAGTGGGATTGCTTTGTTTGAAGAGGAGATCTGAGAAGGACCTGGATTTTTGGGAAAGATTACAGTTTGATTTAATCCAAGACACAGAACAATTAAAAAACACCATGGTATTTGTTCTTTACATAAACTTATGTTATACTCACATTGACTATGTCATATGCAAATGAGAGCTTGAATATCCAATCCATTTCATTATTTGAATTTCTCAAAACATCCTGAAAAACAGTTATTTAAAATAGCACCAGGGATTCAACCTGGAGCACAGTGAGCTTCATATGTTAAATGAGTTTGGTTCTATTACATTGGATGGTTTTTGTTGTTGTTGTTAATCCTCAACCAATGATATTTTCCTGTTGATTTTTAGGGAGAGAGGGCAAGACAGAGAAACATAGATGTGAGAGAAACACATCAATTGGTTCCTCCTGCATGAGCCCCCACCAGGCCTGAGGAGCCTACAACAAAGGTATGTGCTCTTGGACCAGAATGGAACCTGAAACCCTTTGGTCCACATGCTGACGCTCTATCCACTAAGACAAGCCGGCTAGGTCTACATTGGATGGTTTTGACCAGAACTCATACAACCTGAGACAGAGCCAAAAAATTTCCCAGGAAATATCACCTGACTCAATAGTGAGAAAGTTACGCAGTCTTGAGTTTTATAAAACACTTCCGTGTTCTTGACATAAAGGGGACGGTCACATACCGTAGGTAGTATGGGCCCAGGAATGCAATTCAGGAGTAGCTGTGACAGCTAAGGAGACAAACCAAGCCCAGCCACTTTCCATCCAGAACAAAGGAAACCAGACACTTGGCAACTCCGCTGCTAAGCCTATCCCCTGCAGGCAGCCCAACAGGATAATTCAGGTCTTGCAATTAGACTAGAGAGGAACTGTTCTTGGATGAAGGAGCAGAAGCACTGAAAGTTCTTCAATAGCTGCTGCTAATTAAACCTAAGGTAAGATTTCTTATTATACTTACCTTAAGACTCCCTTTTTTGCAATACTGAGTGATAATGCAGATGTTGGGAGGTTCTGTGCAGACACCAAAGAAGGGAACAATGTTTTCGTGCCTTAATTCATACACCTGAAAATAATAATGGTAATAATAGCTTATGATTATAGTATGCCCTCTGTGTTAGGGACTATGCTACGTGCTTTACATACTTTGAGTTAATTCTCACAAAGACCCTGTGAGGTGAGAACTATATAACTGCTCCCATTTTACAGATGAGGAAACTAATGCTCAAAAGGTTAAGTAACATGTTGAAGATCATACCACTCGCTAGTGGCAGAGTTGAGAAGCAAATCCAGGCAGTCTGTCTCCAGCATATAAACAAGAGGAATGATCAAAGTTGAACCTTAGCCCGGGCATTAAATGAAATCACGTCACAGTAAATAGACCCAGCCCTGCTTCCTGGTGTTGATGGCTGCCAATGCCAGTGTGTGGGCCACAATGGATCACAGATTTGGAGTAAGAAGTCAGACCCCATGAACTTGACTTCCTCCGAGGACCAGGTTCAAGGGAGGTGAGCAGCCATCACAGGTACAAAGAATGAAAATGCAGAATTAAGGCCAGGGAGAATTAAGGGAAATGAGCAAGGCTAGGAAGGATCCCAGGCGGGGGGTGCCTGAGTCAGGGCTGAAAGTCTTAGGTCCAAAGTCTGGGCTGTCAGGGGTGAGGGGGGTGGGCCAAGTTAGGGGAAGCTGCTTTCCACCCATGCTCCTTTGGACTGGGGCCACGCCCACTCCAGGTGGGAACAGGAAGCTGGCAAGGAGGGTCTGAGAACAGCGCCGCTTTGTCTCCTCCCAGGGTGGGGACCTCACCAGCCGGATTTCCTGCAGCACAGATGGCTTCCTGATCCTGGCTTCTGCTTGGTCACCAACATAGCAGATGGCCACATGGTTTCCCTGGAACCAGAGACAAAGCGGAATGTTCTAACTCAAGATGATCCAGAAAAAGCTCTACTCAGAAAGAACTGGGGGGTGGGGGAGGGGGGGTGAGAAGTCAGCCTAGGAAAAGGATCATGAACCTCCTCACTGCCCAAAGCAGCCCTAGAGTGGCACTGTGCTAGGTCCAGGCGCTGAGCCAGCTGCTCAGCACAAGAACTCATCGAAGTGACATCGCAGTCCTGCAGCGTGGGGATGATTAGCCCACTCCCAGATGGGATCACTGACCTTAGGTAACCCGTCCAAGGTCACACATTTGTGGGGAGTTCAGCCAGAATGGGAACATCTGATTCCACACTACACTTTTTCTATTATACAACAATGTCTCATTATCATTCAGAGGCATAGTGAGTAGAGGTCATAAGAGTCAATACCGGTTCAAAGACCATTTCTAACACTTACTACTTACATAATCTCGAGCAAGGGATTTAACCTTTCCAAGCCTTTATTTCCTCATCTGTGCAACGAAGATTAAAAATAATCAGGGCTGTTGTGGGGATTAAATCTTAAAATATGTGAACACTGTTAACTCAGTGACTGGCATAGACAGCCATGGTGGTATGGTAGAGAGGGTGAGAGGGGGCAGGCGGAACTATGCTGCCAGCTTTGGTAGCTGCCGGTTTATATGTAGAAGCATCCATACCCATGACTGATCCATCAGTGCTAAAGTACAAAAAATGAAATAACCCATGCTCTAGGACTATACTGTCCAATAATATAGCCACTACCTCTATGATGCCAATTGCATAAAAATTACATAAAATTTAAAATTCAGTTCCCCAGTCACACTAATGTTTTAGTCACATGATGGTAAGGGCTGCCATGCTGGACTGAGGAGATTTGGACTATTACTATATTCATAGAAAGTTCTATTTGGCAAAAATGAGTCTAACATAGAAGCCAGCATAGGGACCCTCAGGGAGTTCGTTCGAGAAAATGCAGATTCTCAGGCCCTGCCCCAGACCTGCTGAACCAGAAGCTGCAACTTTTTGTTGTTGTTAATCCTCACCTGAGGATATTTGTTCCATTGATTTTTAGAGAGAGTAGAAGGGAGGGGGAAAGACAGAGAGAGAGAGAGAGAGAAACATCGATGCCACATATGCCCCAACCAGGGCCTGGGGATCGAGCCTGTAACCCAGGTACATGCCCTTGACTGGAATCGAATCTGGGATCCTACAGTCCAAGGCCCAAAGCTCTATCCACTGAGCAAAACTGGCTAGGGCCAGAACCCACATTTTAACAAGAGCCTCCAATGATTCATAGGCACATTAAGGTTGAGAAACACGAGTCTGGAGTCAGAAGGCTACCTGGCGTTTACCTGGAGAATCCCTCCTATTCGGAATGCCTGGGCAGAAGGGACATGCAGAGAATGGGACAGAGACACACCCTTCATGCAGCCGCCTTGCTCTCAGAAGTACCTCGTAAAGCCCTACTGGAGCGTGAAAGAGCGCTTCCCCCTGCTGACTCTGGACAAAGGAGCTGAAGTCCCCAGAAATCTTCACACTAGACCCATGGCTGTTGTTCTCTCTCAGCACAGGTGTGCCCCTCCGGGGTGGCTGTAAGGACACATCCAGGAGTTAATGTGGTTCTGAAGATAACTAGATGCTTTCCATAAAACAGCTTTAATATTTGAGCTTACACCACAGGGTAACAGATCTGAAGGGACACTTTAGGGACCACCTGATCATTCTAAGTATTCAGTAACTGAGGCCAGACATGATGTTCCCAGATATTCAGCAAGGAAATGGTAGGCCTAGAGCCAGAACTCGGGGCCTGAGACTCTCTGTTAAGTGCTCACTTTATAAATGAGTCGGCCTCCGTTCTCATAAGCTCCTGGAGGAGGTCCCTTCCGCAGATCACCAGAAGTTAGCAGGGAAGTGGACGTCTGGGCCAGGTGTGGCCTTACCTTGTCCTGGGGCAGAACAGTGATGGCGTTAAAATCGATCTGCCACCAAATGTCTCCATTTTGCCTCTGCAGTTTTCCCTTCTGGATCCTTAAAATCAGACCTATGATGGCAGTTCCCAAGACAGTGACCAGGAAGGTCATCAGGAGAATCAGAACAGTCACACCTGGAGGACACAGGCATATCATTACTCAGGCTGCCCGAGAGCGGAAGTGAGAACATCCCTGTCCAGCCTGGCCCTGCCAAGCAGATGCCTCAAAGGCCACCTCGGCATGGCTCTTCCAGGAATGCTTTCTGACCTTCCTCTGGTTCCCATGGCAACTGCACTCACTTCTTCCTCTGTATAGACACTTTCATTGTACAGAAATAACAGTCAGGATTTCTAATACCACCACCACATTTTATTATTAAACATTTGCTATGTCCTCTCCTCATGGTTGTTTCTCAGGTATGATCCATCTAATTCCAGGGCTGGACCCCTAACCATTGGGCAACACTCCCCTGTCCAGACTTTCTACCTCCTTAGAAATGAAGTTCCTGAACTTCAAATCTCAGGAGCTGGGTTTCCCTAGAGCAGAGGTTCCTAACAGGGCAGGCGGGCGATGTTGCCTCCCTAGGGGATATTGGTAGCAAGTGGAGATACTTTGGGTGGTTCCAACTAGAGGCTACCACTGGCATCTAATGGGTGGAGGCAGGGATGCTGCTAAGCAGCCCCCAAAGCACAGGACAGTTCCCCTCCCCCCAACAAAGATTATCCCACCCAACATGTCAATAGTGCTGTCACTATTGAAAAGCCCTGCTATGGAGAGTCCTTTCCTGCTACCTTCTCCAGGAGCCCATACTGACCTGTAAAAGCAAGCTCACTTTCACAGAGCTCGTCGTCAAATCCACAGCCAGGTCTGTCTGCAGCAAGGGAGCCATGGGGCCAAGTAATAGTGGAGAAATTCCTCACGGGTCTTAAAAAAAAAAGAAGGTGATTGAAGGTCAGTGCCCATTTGATTTATTCTATTTGTCTCTACCTCAGGTACAGCAAGGGCAAATGAAATACACATGTCATTTGCAAAAAGTAGGCCTTGGTCTCTTAATTCAAATGTCCACTGACCCATCCAATTTTCCCACCTCACCCCGGCTCTTCGAATCCAGCCTCCAGGTAATCTAATTCATGGAAAAGCAATATCTTTTTGCAGAGTAGAACCACTGATTCAATCTTTTGATGTAAACCATGTCATTTCTGATTTAAAAGATGCTGTGCCAATTCTCCAGTGTTGCTGGGACTCTCTCCCGTGTTTGATATAAACAAATTTTATATTCAGCACCTTGACATTTCACAGAGCAAAACATCTCCCCCTGCGTGGAGCATGCCCGTTTCTACAATCCTGAAGACCTAGTCTTCCGTGGTTAGTTTCTTTCCTGGGCCAACCCATTTTGTTACACTAAAAATCCTTAAGAGTAGAGAGGAAAAAATGTCAAATCAAATCTGCATTGGGGGTGGTGACAGTGAAGGCCAGTAGAAATTGAATTAAGCTTTAGGTTTCCTTTCAGTTTTCTCAATTATAGCTGAGTGATGAAAACAGAGACTTTTTCCAGAGCTTCCTGGGTACCAGGGGTACCCAGGTCCTGCTATCCATAGGGCTCTCTGTTTTGGGGTCAGGCTGACTGGAGGAATCTGTTTCCCCGACTGAGCTCCCATCCCTCTAGGGGGCGCTGTGCTCCCCCACCTCCTGGTCCAGGGCCTCTCTCTGAGACCAGGGGCCAGGCGATGTTCCCTGCTGGAGCAGCAGAGGAAGCCTGGGCCCCTGTGGAGGTGCAGTTAGAAGATATTGTGAGGAATCAGAAGTGGCTGAGTTAATCCCACAATCAAGGGCAAGATCACCTTAAAGACCCAAAGTCAATCCTTATAAGTTCAGAGTGCACCAGGCCATGTGCAGTGGATTCTAGGAGCTGGATCCCAAACTGGTCTTCCAGCGAGGCCCCCCAGGTCTCTTCCTGCAGCATGCTCTAAACTCGAAGTAACGTCCGCCCCAGTACCTGATTTCTTTCTGATGGCTGTTGTAGTGAAGAACAGGAAGGAAGAGGGACCCGTTGCTGGATTTCTGTAGGGCATAGACCGAGTAATCCACCCACCTTTCTCCCTGGGAGTCCACAAACACTGGGCCGGTGACTCCTGAAAAGAGAGGAGACTGCAAGTGGTTAAGGAGAGAAAAAGAAGGACTCATGACTCGAACTCAGACCAGCCAAGCCCCCTCCCCAGCAGCCACCAAAAGCAGTGTGAGGTTTTTGCCGTTTCAGGGAATCTGAGAGTCAAGGAGGAGAGTGGGGGGAAAAAGTTCAGTGGTGGTACCTTGGTGGGGCTCAAGGGCCGCTTGGGACAGGCAGATGTGTTCTGTTAGGCCTATGCTTTTTTAAAAAAAAAGTTTCCAACTGAAACCCAAGATTTATGCTTCCTAAGAACAATCAGATGCGATCAAAAAAGGCCAAATAACATGGAAGCAGCTGCTGGGACTGGGGACAGCTGCCTCCTCCAGGTGCTACAATCCTCCTCCTTCCCACCTGCAGGCCCTGTGGGCTGACTTTTCAAGCTTTGTTCTCCCCTTTCCCCCTGGTTTTGGTTTGTGCCCAGGCATTGGCCTGGCACTCAGTCCTGGTACCTGTGTTCTTTGTTCTCACATAGGATGTGGTCAACCTCATGCATAAAACACACATCCGAGATCCTGGAGGAGTCAAGTTCAGCTCTTCCACACCCCAAACTAGAGCCCATGGTCTGACACCAGATTTACTGCTGATTTATTCCCCCTGGGGACAGGGCACACAATTACCATCTATTAAGCACCTACTATGTGCTGGCATGTGGGGGTCGCAGTGATTTCACACACCTAGTCCCAGGGGACCCTGCAGAGCAGGGGCCATCATCTACTCCTAACAAGCAGGGCTTGGAGGCAAGACCCCTAGATAGGCAGCCACCATTGAATGAGCACATCCTGTAGTAAATTTGTGATCTTGGGCAAGTACATAGCCTTTCTACCCCGGGTTTACTCACCTGTGTACCATAATACAGGTAATAATAGTACTACTAACTGATGGTGTGTGTGAGGATTAAGTGGGATAGCATGCAGAAGCTCTTGGCACCCAGCTTGCTTTAAGGTAAGCCCTCAATAAATGCTGGCTACTATTATTCCATGTGGCAGGAGGTATTATCTGTGTCTTACAAAATGAGAAAACTGGAGTACAGCAAGGTGACACAGTTGATCAGCTCCCAGGGTGATTTCAAAACAGTTCACGTCCAAGTCCAAGCCTATCCTCGCCCTGACAAGGAAAGTCAAATGGGATTGGCCCCATCTTTAGAGGGAGAGAGTCATGAATGAGGCCAGGGCCCCATCAGGGAGGGATGGCATGGGAAGGAGCATAGAAGTAACCCTGAGGCAGGTCCCACTCTCTTGAGCTTTATTCTTGGTGGACCAGTTTGAAAGCAGCTGTGGGAGGGACTCTCTGGGGAGGAGGAAGGAATAAGATGCCCCAGAGATCCCCTCAGCTGGACTGGGCAGCCTTTTGTATAAAGCTGGAAGAGCTGGACTGTGGCCGCTGGGAGGTTTAACCTCAACCTTCCCTCCCCACCCCCCCACCCCCTGCCCCGCCTTCTGGAAGACTGAAATCTCCATGAGAAAGAGGAAATCTATAACTCAGTGTGAGGCAGGCCCTAAATGAAGCCTTAAACCACATGTTCAACCTCTCAGAGCCCCACTGACAGGAG